CGTGGAGATTACTTTGGTGCAGCCGGCGGAAGCGACCGAGGCCTTACGACCTCACGACACTGTCAGCATTGCACCATAGGGGTCAAACCTTCGGGCCACGAGTGCCTCCGTACCTTGTCGGCAACACCGTACCCCCCAGAGCCACGTAGTACGAAAAAGGTACGAAAGGGATGCTGGAGTATCGTTCGCCGGAAACGGGTTTGGGATAAACTGCCGACGACTGTGCGACACTGGTGCTATAGCTCCCGCATGCCCTCTAAGTATATCTCAGCTTTGACTCAGAATGTCGGGTCAAAGGAATTTTCTGGTTGGATGGGAATGCGCATGTGTGTGTGTGTGTGGGAGTTCTCTTTGCAGCAGGAGATCAAGCTGAATGGCATCGGCACCTTCGATGCCACACTCTCAGCTCTCGCTGCATCAAGTGATTCTGCGCGGATTTTGGCGGCCAACGAGCCCTCTCCGGCCCTCTCCTGCAGGTGCCGGCAGGGCAAGCAAAGGACTACAAGTTCAACGTCTATGCTTACAGGGAAGGCGCTGCCGTTGTTCGGGTTGTCTTTACCAATCCAAAGACAGAGGCTTTGCGGCACACTGTCTGCTCGTTTGTCGTGTTTGGGTTCGCAGAGGGGCTGTGCGTAGCCCCGAACCTCTTAGACTTTCTCTCGTAACCCCCGAGGAAGAGTTTGTTGGGCACGAGATCAACTTCAAGTTCGTTGCACCGAAGTCGATCGACACCCTCAGCTTCAGCACCATCTGCCGTCAAGTAGCCACCCGATCCATCTCGGCCCCTTGGAACCCAACTTGGAGTGCCTCAGGGGGCCTTAGGGCCGTGAGGTCCATGCTTTTGCCGATGAAATCCTTGCTGAAGCGATATGCTTCGCTAAGGTCATGAACCCCTTGTCCTCCGTGGCGAAGTTCAAGTGCCAGGCCACACACCAGGATTTCCGATTCTCGCAGACGGAGTTCTCAGCACCTCGCCTTAAGCAGAGAGCCAGGCACCGTAGTTCCAACACGTGGCAAAACAAGTCTTCCCACCTGGCCGTGACGAAGGTGGCACCCAACTCAGAGGCCACGGTGGACGTCCTCTTCCGGCCGGTGATTGTGGGGTCTGGCGAAGCCAAGCTTTCCTTGAGCCGCTCGCCGTTTACACCCTCTGAGAGGTAGCCTGAGACGAGGGGGGAAGGATGGTAAGGAACATGAACCGGCGGAGTGGTGACCCACAGCTCAGGTTCCCCAGAGCTCGGTGACTTTCCGCACCTTGACTAAGGTTCCCAAGGTGTTGAAGTTTCACAAACCATCTTGGTCCCGGGGAATTCGAAATGTTGGAAGTATGCAACGAAGAGTGGTGTTAGTAGCGGCAAATGCTAAGGCCTTTTGCAGCTTTTCCACTTCAACAGCAGGTCATGTGGGGATCAGGTTCCAGAAAGCTTGGCACTGAGGTACACTGTCGAGTATGCAGCGAAGCCGGCAGGCCACTGAACTCCCCCGGCGAGAAATCGTGCGTGTCGTGTTGAGTCTACTATTACCACTACCGCTATCGCTACCGCTACCGCTACCACTACTACCACTACCATTCCCACCGCCAGTCTGGCGCCGTAAATCTCACACGCGGGAGTGCCCTGCAGGGGGGAAATTGTGGGCCAGTGGAAAAACACACGCGAGGTGCGGGTTCTTTTTGATTTCTCGGGCCGCCAGGGCGGCAGCAGTGTGGTGCTGCTTTTCCAGCATGCGGAAAGGCCTGCAGTGGCCGGGCGGAAATGGTGGCATTTTTAGGCACATCTTCTTTCGGGAAGCACGGAAAGGCCCCACAGAAACGGTTCGTGCTCGTAAAAAGCCTGCAGCAGGGAGACTGTGTTGTTTTTCTGCTGTTGGCGGACAGTTACAGTGGACAAAAACCAGCGTGGCCTTCTCGCGTGCGGGAAGGAAAACACCAGTGTGGCGCTCCTTTTTTCGCGCACGGGAAGGCGTTGCCGGAGGAAACGCTGCGCGCAGAACTCGTGTTTTTCAGCTCGTTCTGAAATATCGGGGTGGGGCTATCGTTATCGTTTCTCGTTTCGTGCCGTGGCCTTTCGCTAATCTGAGCTTTGCTTTCATGTTTCGCTTTATAGTGGGAAGCCTGTTGCAAAAGGGCTTCGCGTTGACAGTGTAAGCGTTTCGGGTTTGCACTACTGCTTGGGGTCGGGTTTCAATCTGGGGTTTAGGGTAACGTCCCTTTCTTGGGAGTAAGGGTTAAGGGTTTGAGAGTTGTGGGTTGATGCCCGGCGTCAGACCTGGATGCAAGAAAGAGTTGTGGGTTGTGCTCTTTAAGGGCCTCGCTGGCTGGGGTAAGTGTTGGGGGTTTAAGAGTATTTTGCCTTCGAGCCATTCCCCGCCACCTCTCACCCGCAGTGCCTGTTTCAAGCCTTCGGGTTTGAAGGGTATCAGGGGTTTAGGTCCTAATCAATTAATAATTGATTAATAATTAAATATTAATTTAATTAATAATTAATTCATAATTATTATATTTTTATAATAAGCCTTCAGTGTGGACTGCAGAAATGAAGGGCTTCACGCTGCTTCGGGTCCCAGCTTAGGCTTTGCGAGGGTTTCGGAGTTTGGGGTTGCGCCAGACACGAAGCATGCCTTTTGCAAGCTCCGGAGTCCGTGAAAACGTGGCGTCAATTCATCGAACGCTTGTGGATCAGATTAAGAAAAATGAGAATAAGAAGAATAAGAAGCATGAGAATAAGAAGAACAAGAAGAATGAGAATAGAAATAAGCATGAGAATAAGAAGAACAGGAAGAATGAGAATAAGAAGAATAAGAGTAACAAGAAGAATAGCTGATTGATTGGGGGCAACAGCTCTGAGTGCCTTGGGAGGCCTGGAGAAGACGATCGTGTTCAAGGCGCCTCTGGGATCCATGGACTCCATACAACCTTTCCGGCTGCTCGGCGTCACTTCTCCTCGGTTTCTAAAGCTTATGCCCAGTGCGCGCACCCTTCTTCATACATAAACACCAGCAAAGCATCGCAAGCGATGGGCATAACCAGGTTCCTGCACTATGCCCAGAAAGCCACGACCTTCACCGCAACCATCGAAGCGGCGCCAGGTAAACGGCCCTGGGGTTTGGGCTTCGTTTTGTGTGTTGTAGCTGTGTTTTTTGGGGGGTTCCTTTTCTATGTTTGCTCTGGAGACTCCTGTGTCACCTCCGTGAGGCCAGAAGTCCGTAAGCTCAGACTTCGCTCCCGAGATCAAGGCCGGTGCTCAACGTGCCCAACCCCGTAGCTCCACCACAAGCACAGTCTGACTGTCTGACCCCCTAAGCTCTAGTATTCCCATGTCCGTGAACAGGAGGTGAAAGTGGAGGCTGCAGGAGCCGAGGGACAAGAGGTCTCCGTCAATGCCGCCTGCCCGCAAGACAGGCCACCCAAGCCTTGTGGAATCTCAAGGTTGCGCGCAGTCCTGGAGTAGGTTGTGGTGCGCGAGAGGAAGGGCAGGCGGAAGAAGGGCAGGGAGTTGTGGTGCATGAGAGGTTCGGCATGAAAAGCACGAGTATTCGATAAACAAAAGGAAGACTCCGAGGCTGAGGCCCAGACAAAAGCCCCACTTGGCAGCACGAGAAAGAGAGTATCTTGAGCCCCGAGGTTAGATTCCAACCATCCGAACTCGGTGAGATTCGAGCGCTGCTGGTACTCACTTCGCAAGATGGCGGCGAGTACAAGGCAGCGTGGTGTGTGTGTGTGTGTGTGTGTGTGTGTGTGTGTGTGTGTGTGTGTGTCACCATCTGTACACGTGTGCGCCGCATCCACCAAGCCGGCTGGTGGAGGCCTTGCTCATGGGCTATGCGCAGCCTCCACAGCCCCAAGGGCCTGTCGATGTCCCCAAGGCTCGGGGTGCCAGATGCAGATTCCTGGTAAAGATGGCGTATTGTGCTGATGGGGCTGCCCAGGGGCTGCCAAAAAAACTCTGTGCCTCGCGAGGGGAAGCCGACCAACGTGGAGTTTCAGAATCCTTTCATGGAGCCAGTGGAGTTTTCGTTGCAGGCCGGAAGAGCAAATCGATCTTTATGGGTGGGACTTGTGTGTCACACTGTCACACTACTGTATGGTACTTGTATTCTTGCTTTTCTGGCTGATGTTTGTGCACTGTCGCGGTTTCGCTTCGGCGAGAACTGGACGGCCAGCCATTTCAGACTGACCACCATCCGCCGCAGGTTGACAATCCAAGCTTCCAGCTGACGCAGCGCGCCGTCAAGCTGGATCCCAAGAAGACGGCCCCTTGGCTTAGCCGGCTTGGCCGCCTCCTTGCGGTCTCAGAGCACCTCCTTGCGGTCTCAGAGCATCTTGCCAGATCGAGGGTGGACATGGGGTTCACGGTCACGCGGCCAGGTGCCCATCCCTGTGTCATTCACGGGCGAGAAGGCGCAGGGTGGACGGCTCCTGGTCAGCGCTGGCCGGGTCTCCACCCCATGGGCCGCTTGGATGAAGCCCAGTCATGGCGAAGTCATTTTCAGTCCATTCGTGATTTCTGGGGCGCCCGGCTGAGGTGATCTTCCTCCAGGGTGTGCCTTGAGCTTCTCGGGCATGCCTGTTTATAGTGCACAGCCGAAAGAATGGAAACCCGAAAGAAGCAGCACAGCTGTCCTGCCAATGGTTTGCTTCTGAGACGTTGCCAACATGCTGCCAGTTTGAGTCCTGTTTCGTGCGTGCTGCTAGCCGCAGGGCAAGCTTAGCGTTTAGATGAATTTTGTGGTCTTTCGGAAACCTCGAAGGGCCCCTTACCTTAGCTAGTGTGCAGCGCGCTGTACAGCATCGTGCTGCGAAAGAATTTGCATGAGACGACGAGTCCAAAACCGGATCTAGAACCGTCTCACGGGCAGCCCGGCCTCGACCGCAGCAGGCAGTGGCCGTGTGCCGAGGCGACAAAGGCAGAGGGATGGGATTGCTTGGCCTTTTGGCCTTTGCAGATAGCAATAGGCACATATGTACTTGCGCATGCATGCATGACGTGCAGAGCGAGAAGGTACCTGAAATCCAAGATGCCCTGATGCAGCTCTTCAAAGAAGTGTGCCCCCAGACAGTGTTGGTTCATGCGACAGGAATGCTCCTTGATGTTGAGACCGTGAAGTCTGGCTGCCAAAAGGTGAAAGGGCGACTTGAGCAGACGGAGCTGCCGCAAGGCGTATGTTGGCATCGTTAGCCCTGTAGTTTGAGATGTCGATCGCTCCCACTTGTCGCCCAGGGCCTGCAGTGCAAGGCATCGTCACAGCCCGCGAATTGGCAGAGCCGAGACTTCAGGATTCCAGACTTCGAGAGCATCTGTCGAAAGCAGAAGGACAGAACAGCTGAAATCACACGATCTCCCTCGTGGCCCAAGCCTCCATCAGCATGCAAAGGCCGATGCAGGGCCTGGTGTTCCACGATTCGAGCTGAACAAATGAACATGCGTCACCCTCGTTGACGTTGTCCCGGGCAAGCAGTGCTGCATGCCCTTTTGTCAAATGTCCGAACGGATTCTCCAGCATGACATAGCTGTAGCTACATTCAAAGCCTGTCGAGCCACATACGACACATACATATGTACAAACCCCGGCATCCTGGCCATGCGGATCGCCGCTCGATCATGGGGATTGGTGAGGCTGAGTTTCTTCACCCCGAGTCTATCTCTGAAACTTTGAAATGCCCAGTGACGCAGCATGCACTAGACTCGCTTGACAGTCGTGCCTTTCCCTTGCCGTTTTTGTGTGGTCATGATTTCAAAACCTCTGGTTGACCCAAAATTTTTGCGACGAATAAGATTCGCCCCTAAACGAGGTATGCTTCGAAGTCTTCGATGATCCAGTCTTCTGCGGTGGTCGGCCCTGCCAGCACGTCTTCTGCCGCACCTGCGTGGAGCAGTCCATGGTTGCTGAGTCGACGAACTCGTCTCAGTCTCAATCTGTCCCTTGGCCGCCGGGGCTTTGTAGGGATGTGTAGGGTTCATAAACATGGGTGTATTCTTCATATATATATATATATATTTATTTTAAGGGGCTGCGCCCATGGGCGGGCAGCGCACGCAGAAGCCCGGGGCGAGCAGTTTCTAAGCATGTTGAGGCCCATAAACTCCCTTAAAATCTCTAAGCGTTAAGTTTCTAAGCATTTTCAGGCCCCTAAACTCCCTTCAAATCTCTAAGCGTTTGAGGCTCCGAGACTCCCTTAACGTTTCTAAGCACTTTATAAGGCCCCTGAACTCCCTTTTTCCTAGCCCCGGGCTTAGACACGTCGCTTATGCCCGCCCTTTGGGGGGCATCATGCTCCTGATGCCCCCCCGCGGTCCCGCCCCGGGAGCCGCTGATGCTCCTGATGCGCGCCTGGCGGTCCCGGGCTGGACCCGCTGATGCTCATGATGCGCGCCCTCTGGGGGCCTCCGTGGCGACGCAAAAAACCACGAAAAAAAAACCGTTCACCGGCGGCACGCGGGGGTCGGCGGCACTGGCGTCCGGCCTAATTCTGCTTCGCAGAAGGCCAGAGGCCAGCAAGGCTATTCCCGGGACGACCCGGGCTAAAAGGTCCGCATTTGCTCGGTCCTTTGGGGACCTCGCGCTGCCCGATTTAATGGCTACCGCCAGTGCCGCCGACCCCAGATCTAAGAGAGTCTTGCTGATGGCACGCTGAAGGCCCTAAACCCAAAACCCTACAACCTCAATGCCGAAACCCGGAAGCCCGAAACCTAAACTTACAACCCTTACACCCTGAAACCCTAAACCCTAAACGTCCAAGAAAACCCTCAACCCTAAGCTCATAGGAGCCATCGGTCCATGGGGGCCATGGAGGTCGAAGGGATGGGTCCATGGGGGCCATGGGGGTCGAGGGCCATGGAGGGCGGGTGGAGCGGGGGAAGGGCGGAGCAAGCGGAGCGGGCGGAGCGGGCGGGCATGCACTGGGGCCCTTTAAAGTCATTTGATTGGGTCTGGAGGCATAGGGCCAGGGGACCATGGGGCCATGGGGCCAGGAGCCACAAAGTAGGGGGTTGGCCGTGGAAGCATGGAGACATTGGGGGTCATGGCGCCAGGAGCCATGGAGGCATGGGTCCATGGGGGCCATGGGGGTCGCCCCGCTCCACCCGCCCTCCATGGCCCTCAACCCCCATGGCCCCCATGGACCCATGCCTCCATGGCCCCATGGCTCCTGGCCCTGGCCCCCAATGTCTCCATGCTTCGACGGCCAACCCCTACTTTGTGGCTTCTGGCCCCTAGACCCAATCAAATGACTTTAAAGGGTGCATGCCCGCCCGCTCCGCCCTCCCCCGCTCCACCCGCCCTCCATGGCCCTCGACCCCATGGCTCCTGGCGCCATGGCCCCCAATGTCTCCATGCTTGGACGCCCAACCCATGGCCCCATGGTCCCTGGCCCTATGCCTCATGCTTCAACGGCCAACCCCCTACTTTTTGTGGCTCCTGGCCCCATGGCCCCATGGTCCCCTGGCCCTATGCCTCGATCTAGACCCAATCAAATGACTTTAAAGGGCCCCAGCGCATGCCCGCCCGCTCCGCCCGCTCCGCTTGCTCCGCCCTTCCCCTCCGCCCGCTCCGCTTGCTCCGCCCTTCCCCCGCTCCACCCACCCTCCATGGCCCTCAAATTCCATGGCCCCCATGGACCCATGCCTGCCTCCTGGCGCCATGGCAATGTCTGGATGCTTCGACGGCCAACCCCCTACTTTGTGGGTTCTGGCCCCATGGCCCCATGGTCCCCTAGCCCTATGCCTCTTTAAAGGGCCCCAGTGCATGCCCGCCCGCTCCGCCCGCTCCTTGCTCCGCCCTTCCCAGGAGCCATTCATGGGAGTCGAGGGCCATGGAGGGCGCATGGGGCGGGGGAAGGGCGGAGCAAGCGGAACGGGCGGAGCGGGCGGCCCTTTAAAGTCGTTTGATTGGGTCTATATGCATATGGCAAGGGGACCATGGGGCCATGGGGGAAGGAGCCAAAGGTAGGGGTTGGCCGTGCAACCACATGGCGCCAGGAGCCATGGGGCCATGGAGGCATGGGTCCATATGGGGTCATGGGGGTCGAGGGCCATGGAGGGCGGGTGGAGCGGGGGAAGGGCAAGCGGGCGGAGCGGGCGGGCAAGCACTGGGGCCCTTTAAAGTCATTTGATTGGGTCTAGAGGGCGGAGCAAGCGGAGCGGGCGGAGCGGGCGGGCCAAAGGACCATGGGCCATGGGGCCAGGAGCCACAAAGTAGGGGGTTGGCCCTCAAAGCATGGAGACATATGTTGGGGGCCGAGCCATGGGGCATGGGTCCATGGGGGCCATGGGGGGGCGGGAAGGGCGGAGCGGGCGGAGCGGCCGGGCATGGAGTGGGGGCTTTAAAGTCTTTTGATTGGGTCTAGAGGCAGACCATGGCCATGGGGCCAGGAGCCACAAAGTAGGGGGTTGGCCATGGGGTTAGGAGCCACAAAGGAGGGCCATCAGAAGCATGGAGACATTGGCGGCCATGGCGCCAGGAGCCATGGGGCCATGGAGGCATGGGTCCATGGGGGTCATGGGGGTCGAGGGCCATGGAGGGTGGGTGGAGCGGGGAAGGACGGAGCAAGCGGAGCGGGGGGCATGCACTGGGGCCCTTTAAAGTCATTTGGTTGGGTCTAGAGGCATAGGGCCAGGGGACCATGGGGCCATGGGGCCAGGAGCCACAAAGTAGGGGGTTAAGCATGGAGACATTGGGGCCATGGCCCCAGGAGCCATGGGGCCATGGAAGCATAGGTCCATGCAGGCCATGGGGGTTTGAGGCCATGGGGCCATGGAGGCATGGGTCCAGGCCATGCAAGTCCAGGGCCATGGAGGGCGGAGCAAGCAGAGCGGGCGGAGCGGGCGGGCAAGCAGGGGGTTGGCCGTCAAGTTGAAGCATGGAGACATTGGCGCCAGGAGCCATGGGGGCATAGGTCCATGCAGGCCATGGGGGTCGAGGCCATGGGGCCATGGAGGCATGGGTCCATGGGGGCCATGCAATTCGAGGGCCATGGAGGGCGGCATAGGGCCAAAAAAACCATGGGGCCATGGGGCCAGGAGCCACAAAGTAGGGGGTTGGCCGGGGGTATGGCGCCAGGAGCCATGGGGCCATGGAGGCCTCCATGGGTTGGGGGCCGTGGGGGGTCGAGGGCCATGGAGGGCGGGTGGAGCGGGGGAAGGGCGGAGCAAGCGGAGCGGGCGGAGCGGGCGGAGCGGGCGGGCATGCACTTAAAGTCATTTGATCGGGTCTACAGGCATAGGGCCACAGGGACCATGGGGCATGGGGCTGGGGCCCTGGGGCCAAGGATGGGCGAGAAGATGGGGCCATGGAGCCATTGCTGGCCATGGGGCCAGGAGCCATGGGTCCATGGGGGCCATAGGGGCCGAAGGGATGGGGCCATGAGGAGGGAAGGGCGGAGCAAGCGCAGGGCAGGCATGCACTGGGGCCCTTTATGGGGCCAGGAGCCATGGGTCCCTTTAATGTCATCTGATAAAGTCATCTGATCGGGTCTAGAGGCATAGGGCCAGGGGACCATGGGGCCATGGGGCGGGGCGGGGGGGGGTAGCGGGGTTGGGGGGGGTGGTGAGATAGCCATGGATGGGGGCCAGCATGGAGGTCTGGAAGGTAGTATAAAAAGCAGTGGGTCTTCACTGACGCCGCCCCCGGCTGGGGTCGGCGGATATATTTGTTCACGTCTATTGGTGCTATATATATATATATATATGTAAATATAATTCGTTGGAATCTGGGTCCGCGTGTGGAGGCACCCGAGGAGACATCCGGGCGGAGTGGACACTGCCCCACTTGCCGCGCGAGAATAGCCGTGGAGGACCTCCCTACACTAAGTCTAACCCCCTGGTTCTTCGTAGGGAATGAGGGAATTAGGGCCCTACATATACCCTTTAAGGGAGTGCATACGTACCTCATTCCCTCAGTCCCTACTAAGAACCAGCCAATATACCCGGATGGTGTGTAGGGATGAGATGGCCTTAAACAGACATGACAAAGACGTGGCCTGAGACTCTGAGAGACCGAAATCGAACAAGAAGGTAGGGAAACCGTTGCTTCAGTTCGTTCTCTCTAAGCGGCGGTCCAAGCGTTGCACGGAGGACCTGCAACCGCACCAGGCGGGCAGACACTGCATTGAACTGCAAAACTTGCCCCTCAAGTGAAGGAAACCGATTCTGTACGATCTGCGAGGCGCTGCGTAGCCTTCTGGACGAGCTCCCGGTGCGCTGCCGGCGTGGGTGTGGCTGGACAGGTGGGGCGCCATGGGCATGGGGGCTGTTGCGCACCGTTCTGAAAGTTGGGCGACGCGTGATGCCATGTCGCGAAAGTCCCCTGAGGCCGCCGCGACGCCAGGTCATCGCACGAGTCCCCGGGGGCGAGCCAATGCATCCTTCTGCGGTTGGATGCGGCGCAGGTGCGAAGAGCGTGGAAGAGAGCTGAGGGCCGGGAAGTGTCCAGAACCCAAAACAGAAGCAAGCGACAAGTGAGAAGTTGGCACGAAGGCGGAGATTGCCTACCTCAGCGAGGCGTGTGAAAGGGTGCTCGCGCTGCCTCACAGCCATGTTCCGGTCACGTCAGCTCCAGGCCGGCGGCCACTTGCGTGATCGTGATGTTCGCATCGCGCAGTTGGAGGCCCGTGTGGCGGAGCAGGACCGGCAGGCTGGGTTCAGTGCAGCGCCTGCATGTTGTGTTGGGCGGACAGAGGGGGGGAGAGTCTGCCAGCATCGAGAGACAGGTCGTCGACTATGGCCGGCAACTTGTGGCCAAGGAGATACGCGCCTCGGATACTTTCCTTGGCTTGCAATATAATTATTACTGCAATTACTATTAATATTATTAATGAGGTTCTGATAAGGAGAGTCCTTCTCATTTTAAAGCCAAGCAACGCCTTGAGGCATCCAGGAGCTGGAAGCCCAGCTCTCCCAGCACGAGCAGGATCTCACGCAGACCCCTGGCACAAGCACTTTGGGGAAAACGGCGTTGTGATGCGTTTTTTTTGGGCATTTTTTTATGCGACGTTGCTGGGTTCGGCGGTGTTTTCGGCAATCTGAGTCAGTCCAACTGCTTAGGAAGGAGCTCGAGATTGCGCTTCTGCGGCAAGCTGCCTCCGCCACTTGGTCCAAGCCGTCATTGCGGCCGGCCGTGAGACAAAAAGCATGCACACTGAGGATGGAGAGAAGACGGGCATGACCGGGCCCGAACTTTGGCTGTGAGTGCCACATTGAGGCTGCCGAGAATTTGTCGTTGCTTGTCAGCCTCCGCTGGCCACGGAGTCAGAGCGCTACCGCGGCCAGGGGTGTTCCAGCTTCCAGTATTGTCAAGTGCCCTTCGGAGGGCGTGTACGTGGCGTCTCACCAGTGTGCCGATAGGCACCTCCGAAAAACACGGAGACAAGCGCCGAAAATGGAACAACAAAACATGAAGACATCAGTTTAGCTTGGCATTGTGTTTGGATGGCCATGCTTCTGCATCGCATCTGAGCTGCAGCTTTGTGTGCGTGTGCTCAGGGAAGCCAGCGAGCTTCAGCTGCCAATTTTCGCCGTTACCTTACTTCTGCAGCTGCAAGCCTGCGACAGCCTGTTGGCCGAGAGCATCTTCTTACCCGAGTGGCCCTGAGTTCATTGGTGACGTCGAATCAGCCACACAGCCGACCAACACGGCCTGCCTGGCTTTGCGCAAAACATGTGTGTGAGCACGAGGGCAGGCCGATTAGCTGTCCTCTGTTTCAGGACGGCGTGGCTGTCCTTGGCCACGTGGTATGTGCCAAGACGTCCAAGGCCGACTCCTGTAGTTGACAAGCAGGCATGAAGACTGATTCATGCTTAGTGGCACGCACTGGCTGAGGTTGTTGGCGAATTGTGGGAAGGCACCGTCGCACCCCCAGCTCATGCTGGAAGGTGACACCTCCGTCAGCCCGCAACATGGTCACAAGAGTTTCCAGTCCAACCCGAAAGTCATTCTAGTTTCAGAGCCTTTGCAGCATGTCCGGACATCGCTCCCGCGGCACGCTGCCCTGTTTTTCCGTAGCACACTAGCTCAAAAGTTCGCTGGGATTGACCTTCGGCTACGATCCCAAGCGCTGAGATGGTGGCTGACAGTTGTGCCAGGTGGGGCGAATACTCCGACAGACCATCTTGCATCGCTCCGTAGGTCTATGTGAACATCGCTAGGCCGCAAGGGTAATCGGGACAAACAAGCCTGAACCAAATCATTGCCAAGCTATCAAGAATGTCCTGAATTTGTGAAGGTGGCTGTTCGATCTGGACTCTGACTGGCAAAGCTGGCCCGAACAGGGCCGTGGAGAACTCGAAAAGCTGCACGGGGATTGGCTCGCATCAGGATCTCCAGATGAGAGCTTTGAGCTGGTCTCGGGTCCGCACAGCTACTTGATCAACTTTGTGCGGATGACCCAGACCAATACCCGGACGGGGAAGATGAGGAAGTTGCGGCGAGAAGAGCAACATCAACATGTGCTTCATCTTCAGGAAGCCCTGGAGGGAGGTTCGGCTGCAGCTGCCAGCAGCGCTTCCATGAGTCCATGAGCTGTCCGACTCGAGAAGCTGCATTGTTTCGTGAATGCTTGCCTAAGGAAAGAATCGAGATGTGAAGCAGCTGATGCAAGAGTTGCAGACCTTGCGGTCGCAGCAGCGCAGTGATTGGCACGTCAAGGCCCGCTTCTGTGGTGTATACAGTTTCCAGGACGAGCTCAAACGTGATCGTTGCTTCGTGATGTTTGCTTGTGTTCTTTCTCTGCGCAAGAGATGTGTGTTTCGGAAAAACTGGTTCTAACAATGCTCTGGCTCGCAGTTCTCAGGGGCTGGAGTCTAGAGGCCCCGGCAGGGCCACAGGGAAGTGTAAGAAGATCGAGTTTGATCGCGTGCGTGACGCCGCTTCTTGTTGCAGAACCTCTCGCTCTCTGACTCTTCAACTTCTTTCGGCCTTTCACGTCTTTAACAAAGGCGACGGGGGCGGAGCGAGCACTCGTAACAGGAGGGTAAAGGGCGGTGGGTGCTTTGTGTGCTTAGCAACTTCGAAGCCCGGCCACCCCAAGCAGACGAGGGACAGATCTGGCGCCTTCCATCAGGTTGTTTGCCTCTTTGCTTGCATCCTCCAAGGAGCGGGAGCAGCTTCTACGAGAGAACGCGGAGCTGATGTCTGAGAGGACGGAATGGGAGCAGGAGCCCTGTTGCCCTTGCACAGCGGAATGAAGCGATTCAAGCGATCGGCCACCGGCTGAAACTGTTTATGGGCGGAGGGTGGGGCAGAGGCAAGTACAGCCAAGTTCAGCCAAGTTCAGTTCTCGGACGTATAGGGCTGAGCATTCAGCTAGGAGAAGAATCGCCTCATGGCGCAGTGCGAGCAGCACTCTCAGGACTGCGTTTCTCGTGTCGTTGCTTTGTGGCCTGGGCTTCGTTGGAAGTGAGTTGTACAACGGGACCTTCGAAACCCTGGTACGAAAACACCGGCTACTGAAGGTAGTTGTAAACGCTTGCGCCTCCGCCCCAGGGTCAAAAATGGGTCTGCTCTTCCGTGGAAGGGTTGGGTAAGGAGGCAGAGATCGGATCCGCTTCTGCTTGTCCCAAATGCTTCGTGGCAGGAAGCCGACAAAGAGGGGGAGAAGGGTTTAGGAAGGTTTGAGGGGCTGGACAGGTTCCTTTCAGGTTCCAGAAAGGGTTCTCAGGAAGGTGGGGGTCCCAGTTTCTGCAAGACCAGGGGTGTGCCAAGGGCGGTCTCGGCGGTTCAGGGGGTTTCAGGGGGTTCCCGGAACGGGGTGCCAGGGCGGGTCCCAGGAAGGTTGTAAGTCCAAGCACATGCATTTTGATTTGGGCGACAGGCGGGACCCTCCACTGCAGCAAGCGATCGCCGGGGGGGGAGGGGGGCTGCGTCACAAAATTCTGCATGGGGAAGGATGGGTTAGGGGGAAAGAGACCGGATCCGGGTCTGCTTGTTCCAGACGCTTTTTGGCAGGAAGCCGAGGCGAATTTGTGAAGTCAACACTGTCCCAGTTCAGAAGATTCAGACGCAGAAAGTCGAGGACGTTGGTCGTGTGGATGTGTTCAAGCGAGTCGACAAAACAATCTCGATCTCCTCAACACCTGTCGCGGATCCAAAATGGTGCCCTCCCCCCCGCTCTCCCTCGCGTGTTGGAAAGTCTCCCTGTGGAGCCAACGTTTTGGCGAACGGTGGAGCATATTTGCTTGCGCGCTTGGGGAGGGTAAGTGGGTGCTTAGCAACTTCAAAGCCCGGCCACCCCAAGCAGACGAGGGACAGATCTGGCTCCTTCCATCAGGTTGTTTGCCTCTTTGCTTGCGTCCTCCAAGGAGCGGGAGCAGCTTCTACGAGAGAACGCGGAGCTGATGTCTGAGAGGACGGAATGGGAGCAGGAGCCCTGTTGCCCTTGCACAGCGGAATGAAGCGATTCAAGCGATCGGCCACCGGCTGAAACTGTTTATGGGCGGAGGGTGGGGCAGAGGCAAGTACAGCCAAGTTCAGCCAAGTTCAGTTCTCGGACGTATAGGGCTGAGCATTCAGCTAGGAGAAGAATCGCCTCATGGCGCAGTGCGAGCAGCACTCTCAGGACTGACGCGGTTGCTGCCATGCCCCATCATTCAGTGGCTGTTCTCAGCTCAGTCCCACAGGAGCTGATGTCTGAGAGGGCGGAATGGAAGCAGGAGCCCTGTTTTCTTTGCACAAAGGAATTTCGCGATTGTGCACTGCTGAATTTATTTATGGGCGGAGGGGGGCAGAGGCAAGGTGCAGCCACGTTCAGTTCTCAGAGGCGTAGGGGTGTTGGGCTGAGCATTCGCCAGGAGAAGTATCGCCTCATGGTGCAGCGCGAGCAGTACTCTCAGGACTGATGTGGTTGCTGCCATCCCCCATCAGGCAGTGGCTGTTCTCAGCTCAGTCCCACAGGAGCTGATGTCTAAGAAGGCGGAATGGAAGCAGGAGCCCTGTTTTCTTTGCACACCGGAATGGAGCGATCGGCCACTGCTAGCAGATGTATCTTCGAGGCAGTGACTTACGACCGCCCCACAGCAATCTTGCATCCAAGACGCGTTTTTGTGTAAGTGATTACTTTGCATCTGCTCTTCCTATAGCCACAGGGTACGGGTGGCTATACGTAGGGTTACAGAAGTTGTAGCCGACTTGCTTGGCACTTATTAAGTGGCATTATAAGTCCACTTATAAGTAGGCTAAGTTCCTAGCTTCTTTCCAAAAGATGGAAAGCCCAAAAGGAAAGGTCTTCAGTTGCATCTCAGCATTCGGGTGATTTGCTTGAAAACCCCTATTGCCACAAACTCCTAAACCCAACTCGGTTATAAACTCGTAAACCCGAAAAATTCACATAGCTAAGCCCGAACCCAAAATCGCACCCTGAACCCTAAATGTAAAGCGATATAGCTAAATCGTAAGACCTAAAAAATAGCCCTAAACTCTACAAATCTAAAGCTTAAACGAATCCTACCAACATCTCCATGACTCCATGACATTGCGATTTGAGGTGTGTCCGGGTTCTGCCAGAAAACAGCCGAAAGCCCGCGGACATGGACCGTTCCCGCGGACGATTCGGGGCGCGGCGACCCCAATCTTGCACCAGAGAGCGCGGACATGCGCGCGGTCAAGACAGCGTCGCCGCGGACATGGGCCCGGCGGACATTCGCGGACATTCGCGGACATCGAGCGGACATCGCCAACAGCTCAGAAAACTTAGTTTTGACAGTCCCGGCCTGGCTCCAGAATACTGGTCAAGAAACTGAAGATCCCAGTGTTACAGCACAAACTGTCAACACACTGCCGATGCTTGAGCGTTCCTCGGGGTAATTATCTTCGAAGCAGCGATTCTTGCTGCTTCAACAAGAAGTCCCTCTGTGTCTTCGGCCCCACGGAGGAACACATGTTCTCGGGTAGTTTGAGGAGCTACAGGTTTCGACAACGCAACGTGTGAGGGGTCATTGCATGATCAGCAGGCTTGTTTTGAAAACGTTGCAAGAAAAATTATGGTAAAAGCGCATTTTCATAAGTAGGAAGTAAGTACGGAGGAACCAGGATAAGTTGTTTCAGCTTCGGGGATAGGTCCCTAGCAATTTTCACAAGTTTCTCAAGGACTTATCAGACTTATACTTGAGGTTACAGATGTTAGAAGCCTATGTTACGGATGTTATAACCGCGATTATAACCACCCGTACCCTGTGGATATAGGAGTCAGCTGCGGATGCGCAAAGCCACGTTAAGTTCTCAGAGGCGTAGGGGCGTAGGGCATCTCAGCAAGGAGATCATGGTGCAGCGCGAACAGTACTCTCAGGCCTGCTGCGGTTGCTGCCATCCCCCATCATGCAGTGGCTGGTCTCAGCTTCAGTTCCATAGGAGCTGATGTCTGAGAGGGCGGAATGGAAGCAGGAGCGCTGTTTCTTTGCACACCGGAATGGAGCGATCGGCCACTGCTGAATTTATTTATGGGTGGAGGGGGGCGCAGAGGCAAGGTGCAGCCACGTTCACTTCTCAGAGGCGTAGGGGCGTTGGGCTGAGCATTCAGCCAGGAGAAGAATCGCCTCATGGTGCAGTGCGAGCAGTACTCTCAGGACTGATGCGTTTGCAGCCATGCCCTGCCCCAGCATGCAGTTGACAGTCCTCACAAGTGCACATGCACAAGGATGTTGACGAAGCTTTGTGTCTTTGTGGCTTTGTAAGCGTGGCGACATTGGAAGTGAGTTGCGCAGCGGTACCAATGGCTTTTCCTGATACTGGGTTTTGAAATCCCAGGCACTTTCGCTCTTTCTCCCTCTCTCTCTTGTTGTTCTCTCTCTCGCGCTCTCTCTCTCTCTCTTTGTATTTATGTTTTTTTGATCTCTCTTTCTCTCCCTATCCCCCTCTCTCTTTCTCCAGCTTTCTCTGACTTTATGTTTCTTGCTCTGTCTCTGTCTGTCTTTTTTCTGACTCTCTCGCTGTCCCTCTTTTCATCAGTTTTGCTCTCTCTCTCTCTCTCTGTCGCTGTTCGATGCTGAACTTTTGACTCCCCTGCCCTGGTCGGTTACTAAAATGTGACATTGCCAAGAGAAACAAACCCCGACGTGCAGAAGCTTGCACAGTCATTGTTTTGACCGGCCGCGATTGGCCAAGTGCACATGATTTAGATATGTTGTTGCTAGAAGAATTGAGCCTCCGCGCCAGGAGCTGGATCAGTGCAAGAAGGAGAATGCGGGTCTTGCACATGCCTGTTGAGACATCTGGTTCGCTCTTCCAACCAGGATTGGACATGCTTGAAGCAAGAGGCAACGAGCCTCCAACAACAGATGGAAGAGTGAGGGCCTTGGCGCAGACTTGAGCTTCTGTTCATGTGGTGCATCCTGGGCGAAAGGGCGAAAGGGAATGTCTTCGCTTCATCTGCTCTTGCCATTGATCAGCGGCAAAAAACCAGAAACCAGCTTGCGGACAAACAACTGCGGATCAGCCTCGTATCAGAAGCTGCGAATCGGAAACCGGCACGAATCAGAAACATCAAATCAGAAACTGGACACAAGAAACTACGCGTCAACTGGGGTCGGCGGGGGGGGGAGGGGCGCGGGGAATTGTGTCCGGAATGCCAGGCGATCAGAAACCCGCTCCCGTTTACCGGTTTCTGACCCAGCCTCTCCTGAGTTCCATCCAGCCGTTCGGCAATCCTTGCGCGGGATGGGTTACCATGGTGACCTTTCCAGGTTTGTTTTTTCCGAGTCGTGGAAGCTCCCTTCGAGCAACTGCAGTTTAGAACCCGGCATAGGAGCCGTCACTTGCAGGGCTCAATATGTCCTGCAGACGCGGGGGTTTGATTTTGGGGGCTAGTGCTACAGGGTGTACGGAGGGCACGCACAGGGCCTTGTCGAGTGCTGAGCGCGAGAGGGCCCCCTCCAGGCGCAAGCCTTTTCTTGCGTCAGCAAGTTGCAGGTCCAAAGAGGCAGAACAGATCAAGAAGCTACGCTCAGAAATCCGCTTGCTGAAAAGTCGTCTGGCGAGCAGCAATGCGACGGTCGAACGCTTAATGAGTCGTATCGGCAGGATGGAGGAGCCTGACACGGCCGAGGGCGAGACGGCCGAGAGCAAGAAGCACGAGAAGCCATTGAGGGAGTTGCAAAAACAGTTGAAGGACAAAGACGAAGAGTTGAGGCAAAGCTCCAAGCGCTTGAATGAGGTGGACAAGGAACTCGTGGACGCCCAGAGTAGCAACAGAGACTTAAAGGAGACACAAGCACAGTTGAAGAGTCGCATCCGCACACTGGAAGCCGCGCTTGAGGAAGCAGATGGTGCGTTGCTGTGCCGTTTGCAGAAGATCCTGGGCATCACTGCGGTGCGGGAGCGAAGTCAAGAAGAGGTGGACAAGCTTCGGGATGGATTGCGGAAGCAGGTGAAAAGCAAAGAAAGGCCGCACCACTGGAAGGTGGGACTCTTGGACTCAGTCAAGTTCAAGCGGCAACAGATAGAGAGCATCGTCACTGAGCTTTCGGAGGTTGAAGTCCAGCGACTTTCCCTTCAAAGTGAGTACATCAAGGCTAAGGCCAAGCTGGACAAGCGTGGCAAACAGAAGACCCTGGCGGAGGTGACCGTCTCCTCACAGCAGGGCTTCAAGACGGAGCTCTGTGTGTTCTTCAAAACCGACTCCTGCACAAAGGGCAAAGCATGCACTTTTGCTCATGGCGAGGCTGAATTGATCAAGTCGGGTTCCAGGCAGTCGGATGCTTGCAGCAATGACATCGAGACAGACAGTCGTCTCAAAGAATTTCAGGATTTGAATGAAAGGGTGAAGTCTTTGAAGAGCGACAAGCGGCAGCTGGAGGCGGAGATCTGCAAATTCGAGATGGACGACGAGCTTCACCAGTACAACGATGCGCTCCAGGCTGCAGAAGACGTGTGCAGCGCACTTGGCGAGCAGGACTTCGCATCGAAACTGTTCAATCCTGGCGTGCCAACAAAGGAGGATCGCCGTGATATCAAACCTGACTCCACACTGTTCAGGTTTGTCAAAGGCCTGATGCTTCGGTCATTAACCCACTCCCGGCTCAGCTTCCATTCCAATGAATGGTGTCAGCTTGCACAGTATGACATCATTCACATCAACGCATGCATCAACCCAGAGCTGTCGACTCGCTACAAGTTCGAGCAACTGAAGCTTGCCCAGAAGCACCCGGATGGGGTCAAGCTTCCTGGCAAGCTGCATGCCCTCGAGTTGGACTCGAGCGTCGGCGAGCTCGCTCTTTTCCATGGCTGCCGTGAGGAGGTTGTCCCTCAGATTCTCCAGCAGGGCTTTGACTTCCGCATTGCTGGTCGCAATAAGGGTACAATGTTTGGCGCCGGCACATACTTCGCAGAGCAGCTCGGTGGCAAACAAGGACTACTGTATATCCTGAAGTAGCAGTACATTGTAGAATGTGCCGGGATGATCTGTGCAGCCCAGGAATGCGTCCAAATCGGACTTCTACAGCGAGCCAAACACCCATGGTCTTCGCCATATGATCTTGGCAAAGGTTCTAGTGGGTCATCCATACATCGCCAAGGGATCAGGGAGCTGGACTCGGCCACCAGCTCGGGACATGCCTGACCAACAGGTGGCGGGCGATGGACTTTATGATTCCGTCATGGGCGAGCGCCGAGATCTGGAAGGTTGCGTAGACCACCGTAGCTTGGATGCAGTGCTTGATGTGGCTTTCTGATACTTCATGCCCGGTGTCCAACAAGTTGCGTGGTTTTGAAGGTCAGCGTGCGCCTTGTTGTCAAGAGTTTTTTGTGCATGGGATGGCTGGCAGAAGAGGCGAGTTCATCATCTATCACCAGCACCGTGCTGTACCTCTGGCCGTGATCACCTACAAGCATCGGGACACCTGCAAGTGCACGCTCTGCCTGCGATCGCCATACAGCTAAATGCTTGCGGCGTCCAACAGATTTTTTAACCCTCTCAGCGCTCAGCAGGCACGGATGTATTTCTCAGGCCACAGCAGACAAAAAAAAAAAACAGCCGCGGTCCGATGCGTCCGATGCGGGAGGGACGAGGGGTGCGCAGGATGTTGTCAATTCACAGGCTCTAGGATCACACGCTGATGGTTATGCACTTCTCAGAGCACTTTCGGAACCATGTCATGGAGATGTTTCGTGAGAGCTCGGCGAGCAGGAGATGTTACAGATACCCAAAGCTGCTCAACATGCTTTCAACATGTCTTCGTGCAGCGGTTGGATCTAGCCATGCTGCGGGCCTCCTGCGTGGTGACGATGGCTGTGGGTTTACACCCGGAGCGCTTACAGGGACAGCCGCCTGGCACAACAGAAGAGTCGGTAGGCTGCTAGTTAGATGCCGCTAGACTGCCAGGCCACCTCTCGCTCATTGCTTTTGGAACATGGCTGGCATTGCAATGACTTCATGAACTCTGCAGGCACTCCTACTTTCCCCTGGACATTTTCTGGCCGCAGAACCGGTGTGCCGCCCACAGGCTTTGTGTGCACTTGCTCTGCGGTGAGCCCTTCATGAGGCGGCAGCTGTATGCTCAGATCCTTCCGCACACTCCGGCCACGCGGCAAGCAGATCCTCATTCCCACTTCACGAGTCGGGTCGTCATAACAGCTTTCCAAACAGCCAACTTCAGCTGCCCGTTGACAGAAAGGTGGAGCTGGACCAGATTCTGCTGGATGTCTCCACCCTGGCAGCCGCCCTACCGGGCCCTACCTTGGCCCCCACATTCCCCATCGATTTTCGTATTAAGTTTGCCTCCTTGAGGCGGCCATGCCTCCGTGGCCTTGGGGCCACTTGATTTATCACGAGGTTCTACAGAAAGCCTTCTTGTCAGGACCGGTTCAGATCTTGCTTGCAAAGAAGTTCTATTCGAGTCACCATCTGAGACTGTCGAGAGACAGCAGCGAGAAGCCTTTCGCTTCCGTAGGAGTCCCGGGACAGCTGGCAGAGTTCGGCGTTGGCCTGGGCGGAAGCTCTTTGTTCTTCGGGCAGCTTGCGAGGCTCGAAGACTCACTGAGAGACTGTTTTTAAGTGTGTGAAGCCGGGGGGCCAGTGTTTTGTTGACTTCGTTCCGACTCGCCATCGCCTATCTTTCTAATCTGTGGCAAGATGTGGCAAGGGCTATGCGCTGCGGCTCTTGCATGTGCCTGTCGCAGGCGAGAAGGCCGCAAGCTGCTTGCAGTGGTGCCTGGGCAGCACGCGTAGCAGATTTACCCTGGCCATGTAATCTTCCTGATGCAAGACCACGACAACGACCACGACAGCCAGCCATGCAGCGTATGCAGTGTATGCAGTGTAGATTGGCGCCACGCCATGCGCCAAGGACTCCTTCGAGGGGCTTCCTGCTCCTGATGCCCGAGACAACCTCTACTTTGTGGAAGGGGACTTCGGGTTTGACGGGGACCATAGAACATTCTTCCGCGAGCTGCTGGTAAGCTTTGGCCTGGCGGACACCGTGGCGCTGGCGCGACTCGCCCTCATGAATTTTCAGTCTGGGCCTACGCGCTCTGCCAGTAGTTAAGGATTTCGCCGTTCCGAGACGTGCAGCTGCCGAGTCTCTTCCAGCAGCCCCTTGTCCCAAGTTTGTACAGTGGACAATGTTTGACAAAAGTTCCGCGACCTCGGCTCGTATCCAGAGGCTGGCGTTTGTGCACATTGACGGGGATTTGTACCAGTCTGTGCTGGAAACTTGGCTCTGCGATGCTGGTGATTCAGTGCATGATTCGGGATCTCATCCGTGCAAGCTCCGTGCAGATCGGACTAAGGATGCTTTCGAAAAGGTTTGGGACAGGGTGTCTGACGGCGGCATTGTAGTCGTTGATGACTTCTTCCACAAGGTCCAGGGCCCTGCGCGTGCATCGGCAGAACAAGCAGCTCATCCTTTTTGATGATCGAGCTCTGGTCACGCAAGTTGAGCCGGACAGAGTTGGGACCAGTCGCGCCCCGTGAAATTGGGACGCTCAGGTGCCACCGCCGATTTCTTCAAAGCAAGGCACGCTCAATTATTTCCTTCTGCAAGGTTTGAGGCCTCTGGCAGCCCTGAAGGAAGATGGAGCCGCCGGTGCTCTTCGTGGTCCCAGCCTATGCGGTGTTGCTCGTGAAGGGGCGCTATGCGACCATCGACGGAAAGTCTGATGCTTTTCGAGCTCTGGACTTGCCCTTAGCATCACAAAAGCCGCGTCTAAGAAGGCCACTCGTTTGGAACGCAAGGGTGCCCCGAAGCAAGGATGGCAACTTCTACTCCTTTGAGCTCTTGCGGGGCTATGAGCCCTTAGCCGGCATCTGAGCTCCCCTTGAATCGCAACGAATTTCGCCGTCGCAGATGCCTAAGCCTGACGCGTTGCTGGAAGCCCTTCACACCCTAGCTCCCGAACCCTTTCCGATGCCATCCTTATAAAACACCTGCTTCTCACACAATTCACCTTACTTTCTTGCCCAGGTGCAGGCTGTGCGGGCCTCGATCGCTCGGGCCGGGCGGGCCAGCGGCCCACGCCCGGGTCGGGCCCCAAGGGGTTCCTCGAGGTTTCCAGGTTTGAGTTCTAATTTCGTTATTCGGGGGCATCCTTCAGAGAAGTCTTTGAGCGGTATCGGTGTATCTGCGGCAATTGCCGACTTCCCTGGCTGCCAAAGCATGCTGAGACAGACGCTTCGGGTGTGAGGATGCGCGTTCCTGTCCTTAATGCGCTCAGGTCAGAACGCCCTTGCCTTTCTGGATTTCCTTTCGTACCCAGTGGATGGAGCCGGAGTCTCAGCCGAGCGCCGGCGTTAGCATCGGATCGTCCTTGCCAGCAGCCACAGAGGCCCAGAGTGGTGCAGACATCTTCAGGACCGAGCATTGTATCATGCCAGAGTTGCCCTTGTGCGGAAAGACCCATGAAGAGCATGCTGCAAGGTACCTGGCTCCGCTGGAGGACATGATCGATCTGAGTGATGGTGGAGCATTCGTTCCAAATGGACCTCGACAGGATCCTTGGCAGTGAGTATCGAGATATTTTGAGATCACGAAGCCATTTTCTGGCCTGGCAGAAATGCTCTCCGTGCAAGGCAAGGAGGATGCGAATCCCCCTGAGGCGACCTGCCACTTGGCGACACAGTGACCCGAGATGTTTTGTTGATTCTTGTTGGAATGAGGAGACCTGAGGGTGCGGTCTGAACATGTCTAAACCGAGGAGCATGCCTTCACGGACTGTCGGCCTGCACAGACGGAGCTATGCAGCAAACTGGGCCTTGCGGTGCTGGACCGGCGTCGCATGCTGTGTTTGTTTGAGCTGTGCCTAGCGTGCCTCGACCTGACGAGGAGAATGCGTCGCACATGGGCCTGGAGCAGATTGAGGAATGGTGCTAGGGCCACTAGGGCACAGAAGACCAGAACTGGTGGGGACATGCGGACTGCCTTTTGCAGGCGGAGGTCGAGCGCTTGGCCGACGAGCTCAATCCATGGGAAGCAACTGCGGCAACGCACAATGCCGAGCGTCTGGATCAGATCGCCGCATGGCCGCAGGGTTGACGAGTTTTTTCAGAAGTTGGGTCCGGTCAGGTCGTGAAGCAAGCAGGCAATTTCAGTCATTCCTGCCTCCCAGGCTGTCCTGAAACATTGGCTTCGCCGAGAAAAAACAGACTGTTCTGCGACGTTCTGCATGAAGTCGTGCCAATTGACTTGAACTTTCGCGCTAGTTCTGAAGAATCATGCTGTGAGACATGGGCTGCCCAGGGTTGTCCAGAAGTGTGGAGCCAGCAGCCCGGACATTGCTGCTTTGCACTGCACGGCTCCATGGCTAGTGACTTGTGGTTGAGAGAATATCCAGGCTGCGATGGTGATCGCCAACTGCTGGTGCGCTTCTCATGCTTTCTCGTAGCCTTGTGGTAGATTCAGGTAGACTTGGATGGAGTTTTGACAGAAAGCAATGAGTGCCAAGGCCATGCTTTTGCCTGCCGCCGACCGCTCAGTGTCAGAGTGGCATCCAAGTCCAAGTCAGAATGAAGCCTGCTGGAAGGATGGTGCCACGTGGGCTGCTGCCCTGAAACGGCACAGTGGGACAGCGCAGAGTTGAACAAGGGCTGTTGCGCGTCAGCAAGTGCTTCGGGAAGCTGCATGGGCATGTTTGACAAAGTAAGTAGTGCAGAGCCTTCTCGCCTAGACCCGCAGTAGTTCTTATATCTATGTAGGCTGTTTTCCATACAACGAACCTCCTCCATGCATTCGCCACTAGAGTACCAACTGCGAATTCATCGGCTCGTACATGGTGAACTGAAGATGTGCTTGCCTCATGTCAAGATGCTTGATGCCCATCTTTTGCAGCATTTCGCACCGCATGGAGGTGGCATGGAGGTAGGGTTAGTCATCTAGGTTCCAAATCATCGGTCCAAGCGTAGGATGCATGCGAGCACCCCCCAAGATTTGGAGACAATGCTCGATGGGATCAGGGGTGTGCGCCAAGCCTTGAATCCCACAGCCTGACGGGCGTGATGCCCGTGGCAGGTGCCGGACACTTGGTATTCACCATCCCCCAGGAAGCTAATTGAATCCGGATGCACATGAGGTGAAGCTGCACCTCGGCGAGCGTGAGCACGTATTCGTGTGCGAGGCTTGCCCCGGCCGTACCTACGAGTCTAACATTGTAGCCCAATGGTTGCGGGTAGCCTTTCAGAACCAGTTAAAGGTAGCAGTTGCTAGAGCTGGGCAAGCCTTCCTTTTTCATCAGCATCATCATCATCATCATCATCATCATCATCATCATGGCGAGCCGACGAAACTGCGAGGAAGCGGTGGGTGTTTCCAGAATGCTGGATCATGTCGCGTCTCCAGGAGCCGAGATCGGCTCTGGAGTTGGCCCGCGTTGCAGCCAGACGTTTCGAGCGCTCCGCGGCCGCCCCAGGTGACCTCAGGTGTGACATTTGAGAAGCACATGTCTTGTGAGGCTATGTGACGCTTCTCGCTAGGGCTTGATCTCGCTGCACGTCCACAGACCGTTTTGGTTCATAGCTGGGAGCTGCTTTGCACTGTGAAGCTTCCCGGCGCGATGTCTGCTGACCCGGCGAAAGTGGAGGACACCGGTTTGTTAGGCTTCGTTGATGTTTGCTGTCTTGGAACATGAAGTTGCATGTAGAGCGGCTCTTTCAAGTGCCCCAAGGAACTCTGCAAACTCATCACCGACAGCTTGCCGGAGCACCACCAGGGGGGGAAGGGGAGGGCGCGAGTCAGTCACCGTTTGGGCAAAGAGCTACGCATCGGAATGGCGCCTGCGCAAGCGCCGAGCATGTGAGGAGATCGACAAGCGCTTCGCTGCCCTGGAGAAGGCCACCAAGACTGTCCCCGAGGACCTGGGAGGATGAACGCTTCACGGTCTCTCAGCCATGGCTCCCTCCAATGAACTCTGTGCTTCCAGGACTTAGAGAAACGTCTGGCACTCCTGGAGCAGAAGCTCGCAAGCCCAACCCCAGCAGGTTCTGGGGCCCCGGCCCCAGGCGCAGGGGCCGGGGATGAGGCCCGAGACTGGTGGGGTGCTTTGGGGGTTCAGTGATCTCGGGCGGTGTGGACTACTAGTAGGGCAGGGTCCGCGTGGGCCGCGTCATTGGGCCTGGTAGAGGGTTGTGTATGGGGGGGCTCTTTCTGCTGTCTTCTTGGTCTTCTGTTGATGCTCGCTCCGCAGCTCGGGTATGCACTCTCCAGCAGTTTGGGCAGCGATGTGAAGAGGCGACCATGGCAGGTCACTTGGCAAGTCTCTCGGTTCGCCCGATCTGGGAAACGCTGGGGCCCGTTCCAGTCCGCAAGCCGGTGGCTCCAGTGGTCGCCCTACGTGCACGGGTGGAGCGGGACAGGGTGGACAGGGTGGAGACGAGGAAGCTGAGGAAGCCGAGGGCTCTCACAAGAATCGGGCAGGTGGTGGAGATCTCGCAGGGCGCCGCGTTGTTAGCATGGCCTTTCTTCATCCACATGCTCTTCCAGCTCACCGACAAGCTCAACGCCCTCGATGGCCTCTTCGGACGGAACGTGACCTTGCGAGTTCTTGTTTTTGTGGGCTCCTCGATGTGGCTCATGAAAACGGCGCTGGCCACGAACTTTCGGTTGACAAGCCGAGCTCTGAACAAAGTGCTTTCCCATGCCTTCGAAGCAGCAGGCCTCCAACCTTGGCTTGCTGAGAAGACCGCCGAATTCCTCATCTCCTTCATAACGCGGGTTTCCCGTGTCACTGTTGCGTTGGCTGCCCTGATGCCTGGAAAAAGTCAGCATGCGGTGACCCCACAGGTTTGGGGTTAGCTTAGTGACATCTGACATGGTCATGCCTGCTTGGGATCGGGTCACCCAGGAACTTCGGAGTTCGCGTGCTGCCCACAACTTGGGCCCTGGACTTGGCAAGCTCCGAGACTAGGCGGTGAACTCCTGGTGTCAGCTGTTGTGTTGACTGATGACAGCACTGCCTGCGGTCGTCAAGGCTTGCTGCTCTTGCGCGAAAACTGCATGGCAACTTAGGATCCATATTTCCAGCTGCTGGATGCAAACAAAGATGGTACCCTCACGGCATCGGAGGTCTTCGCCTTTGTCTCTTGACTTGTCGCTGCTTTGAGACTCGTCCGGCCAAGAATCGCCCACCAACCTCAGCACCAGTAGCCTAGGACGCCGTAGTGCGCCTGGTTGAGCAGCCGATTCGGCAGCTCAGGTTTTCGACATCAGCAACCGCCTGTGGCGCGCATCGGTGACTTCGGTCATCGGGATCTGTCTGCTGCAGCTGAAGCAGCCGCCAGCCACCAAACTCGGCTGGTCTGAAGCAATGGAAGCGACTGGCCCGCTTGGCCGGCTTTCTAAGATTGCCTATGCCATGCAGAACCCTCGCAACGCCGAGCTGCGCATGCTGGCGAGGAGAGTGGCGCTCGGAAGCCGCCTCGTCAGCTGCACTATCATTGTGAGCCTCTTCGTGCTGCCCTGGGCCTACTTCTTCGGCCTCCGACCCCACCTGGTTTTTGCATTTGGTGGTGTTGGTGGCCTGGCCGTCGGCCTGGCAGCTCGAAGCTTTGTTGGAAATCTCATTGCAGGCCTCCTCATCCAGCTCAATCGCCCCTTTGTTGAAGGGGACGAGATTCAAGACACGAAGAACTTCCTGACGGGTGTGGTAGAGGAAATTGGTCCCATCAACACTCACATCAACAGTCGGGAGGGTGTACTTGTACATGTGCCTAACCAGACTCTTTTGGACGATGTTGTTATCAACAAATCCATCAAAGACTTCCGGCCCATTGAAGAGTCCATCTATGTCGTCCCGTCTGCTTCCTACAGCCTGCCAGATCTTGTGGCCAGCCTCCAGTCGCTGCTGGATTCCCATCCGTCACTGATGCAAGAGGAGGATGTCAACCGCCTAATCAGGTTGCGGGGTGGCCGTGTCAAGTTGTTCCGACCTCTGGCCATGTTTGACAGCTATGGCGATCTTGGAGCCAAGCTGTTGATCTATGCCTTTGCGCGGGCCGCCTTGTCCCGACGGGAGTTCAAGGCACTGAAGAGCCAGGTCATGCTGTCTATCCATGAGCGTATCTCCGAACACGGTGCAGAGATTGGCCACCTGACCGGAGCGGTCCGTTCCGGCCGGCAAACCCACAACGCACGGAACTCGCAGATCCCACAGCCACAGCGGGGTAAGTATAGTAAGGGAGCGGGAGATCCAAACCCCGCTTCTCCTTCCTAGTGTCCTATAGTGTCCTACAGTGTCTGAAAGTATCCGACTTCTAAAGTGTCCCAGCGTAGACTATGCTCTGGGCAGACCCGACATCTTGGCCAGACAGAAAAAGCAGTGCTCGATCCGTTCGAAAGGACCACATGGAGCGAAGTCTGAGAGAGCCTCGGTGGTGTGTCCGAGTGTAGCAATACCACCAGACTTAGAAATGCCACAGCAAGGCAGCAGGACGGCATGAGTCGGAGTGCATGAATGAACATGAATACCATCTCCATACAAGCCTGAGCAGACGCGCTAAGCCTGGCCCTGGCACAAGCGAAAGTAAAGAGAATCTAGCCATCAAACCAGGGAGAGGGTACTGTAGAGTCTGAGAAGCGCCAGAAGCACCCTGGGGCAGGAGGTGCACAAGCGCTTGGCCACAATCGAGAGCACTGCGGCAACACATCGTGAGGAGAAATTGGGGAGGCTTGTTGTTTAGGAGGGAGAGGTTGCCACCATCAAACGGTGTGACCGTGAATTCCGGCCACTGGCCGAGTCTCCAGGGAGCGGCGATTGAGACCGTATGTTAGTAGTGGGCCATAGCCTTTTTGCGCTCATCTCAGTGCGAGATCAGACCAATATGTTTCATCTGAACTGTGAAAGAGGCAAAGGGTACACGTCGTGCGACACATCGTGAGGCGGCGGCTTCATGTTGGCAAATCTGTCCCCACCAACACCGCGCCAGGACTTGCACCAGAAGTTGGATGCGAACAAGAAGGCGACACATGAGACACCAAAAGGGGTCTTTCAGAAGGTCCGTCTAGTTCGCTTTCCCGAGAGTGACTGGACTCCAGCCATCTCTAGCCGATTGCGTTGACATCTTCCGTGGCCCGCCTAGAGATGCCTGCAGGAAATGCAACGGCTGGTGGCTTCTCTGGAGGAGCCCGCAAGACGCCCATAGGGCTCTGAAGCTTCTCGTTGGGGCTTTGGCATTCAAAGCTATTGCATGAAGCCCCCCTTGCCAGCCTTACCAGCCTCGAGGAGAAGATCGACACTGCCGGGGGCGCACCAGGGGGCGATGATGTGAAGAAGGGGGCGGAAGCTCAGATCATGAAGAAGGCGGGGGGCGACGGAGGGCGGGGCTTGGGGCCCTTACAGGCTTTCGGGCGAAGATTTCGCAAAACGCGGGATGGTTAGGGCCCGGTCTGGATCTGAGGAAGTAGACTAAGAAGACCCTGGCGGGGTGTGCTCCTGAGAGTCGAAACCTTACGAGCTACGAGCCAGGTTGCGACCAGGCTCCAGGACTTCGAGTCGCAGATCACAAGTCAGCCGCGTGTCAAGGGAAGCTCGCAGATAAGGAGGGCCCCAAAAGAGACCCAAAGGTAGCAGAATCCCTCCTTCAGTGGGACAATTTGGTTTTCGGAACCTCCTCCTGCACCCCCCTTCCTCCGACCAGAAGAAACCAAAGTCAAAAAGGCTCTCCTCGGTGGCCACGGACTTCGACAAGAAGCTCTCCCACGTGCATCGTTCCACCGGAGCCACGAAGCCCATTGACGGCGCAGGGGCTGGGGGGGATACTGGTCTCGACACCATGGCCGAGGCGGGCATGGCTGGATAGACATGCACTCGAAACTAGCAGTAAACGCAGTCGTTTGAAAGTCGGTCGTCAGCAGTTCACGTTGGGCATGGGACTGGGGCCTGGTTGATGGAGGACGTTGATCAGCTCAAGTTCGACGTGGGAGAGCTAAAGGACCTGCTTACCAACAGCAAGGGTGAGGTGAACCACATCCGCCGCATTGTCCTGGCCTGCGAGCGAGACATGGAAGACTTCACGGCCGCTGGAGCCTCAGAAAAGTTGCACCCCCGAGGGCGGGAGAGCTACAGCCTGCAGCCCCCCCCCCCCCCCCCCTTCCCCGAGCTTCCTCTGATTGCCTTGGCACCTCTCCAGCATACATGGTTCTTGTTGGTTCACAGGCGATGGATGCTGTCAATGTTGACCTTGACGAGATGCGCGCCCGCGTAGATGCAACCCACTCCATCATCACCAGCCGCCAGCGCGTGGAAGCCACCATGACAGCCGAGATCTCGACCATGCGTCTGGACATCGGCGACATCCAAGAAGCCCTCAAGAACCATGACTCCTGGATGGAGGATGTGTCCAACACCCTCCAGCAGATGCAGGAGAAGGAAGAGAATTTGAGCGAGGACATGATCAGCCTCAAGAATGCCCAGCCCTCAGAAACTCTCGGAAGCGCCCTTTTGGGGATATGCCGTGCTTTTTTTTTGTGGCGTTTTGTTTCCAGCTCCAGCCTACTGTAGGAGCTCACAGCCAAGCTGGACACGAAAGTGGACAATGTGGCCTGGAAGGAGGCGGCCACTGGTATCCCCAGTGATGGAGTGAATATCTGCCTCCCCTAGACTGTCAAGTCTGAACCAACACGAAACCAGCAACATGTGGCTGCAGAATGGGTGTAGGGATGTGTTGAATAACGTTGGCACAGCTTTTTTGCAACAGGACAGAGGGGTTCTCTTGCCAGGCCAACGACGACCTCGATGCGGCCATCAAGACCGTGCGCGACATGGTCTCTTCGCTCCGACTGGATGTGGACGCCCGCCGCCGCAAGGTGACCAGAAGTTCTCCTGAGGGAATGGGAATCGCGGAACAGCAGAGTGAAAATAGGACGAAGTAGGATTCGTGGGAGTGGTGCACAACTACGCCAGTGGACAGGTGGACGAGATCCTGGCCACAATCCGCCATGACATCACATCTGTGGAAACAAACCTGGAGGCAGTGTGTCGGAGTTAGTTCAGTCCCGGGGTCGGGTCCCAGATGTTACAGTGCTACCGTTTCAAAAGGAAGGTTCAGTTTGTGGCTCAAGCATCCTTGGTTCAGGAATCCAAGGCCAAGCTGGCGATGGACACCGACCATGTTTTGTGGCTGCAACTTTCTGGGATGTCGGGGCGGTCAGATGTCAAAGCGTGCTTCACTAGTGTCCGTATGGTACCCTTGTGGTGGGTGGTCCATTTGCAGGTCAAAGGCCCGAAGCAGGAGTCATCAGGTTTGCGGGGGCCCTCCACTGCTGCAAAGGCGATCAATGCGCTGAACGGCCGTATCGACTTCACGAACAAGGATCTCGCGGCAACCCAGGACCCGGCAACAAAATAGCTTTCGAAACAGCTTTCGCAGAAGATTTGGCAAAGGTTGTCGCTACACCACACGCGTCCACACACTGCACACCACGCAGGAGAGCCTTCACACCACCCAGAACTCCTTGAGCGACTGCTTCAACGAGGTGCAGACAATCTCTCTCTCCCCCCTCTCTCTCTCTCTCTGTGTCTGTCTCTCTCTCTCTCTCTCTCCTCTCCGGCCCGGCGGAGTTTTCCGGTTCCTTTCTTTGAGGTGGCAGTCGTTCGCAGCGACCTGGAGCGCAACGTGGCCGACACGGAGGCCAAAATGAATCGGTACGGATCGGGTCTCTATAGAACTATGGAGACTAAGCAGGTAGTTACTAGTGATTTACACTCTCTGCTCTCTTCCGTTCTCCGAGAAGATGGGGACAGGCGCGGCTCAAGAACGACAGCCGCTCCAAGCAGCAGGAGGTGATGGAGAAGATTGGAGATGTGGAGCCTTGGCTGTAAACAGACCTTTTTCAAGCACCTGGCAAGGATGCACCTTGGAGCCTGTTGTGTTTTTGCTTTTTCCCTTCAAGGCGGACGGGAATCTTCGACTTGTAGCAAACTCCTCTCAAAGGATGTGGAAACGAAACGAACCCTTTGGACTTCGGAGCCCGTCTTGTCCGAGCCGTGAGAGTCGAAATCAATTGGCCACACCATGCCAAGACCCCCCTTGCTGGGCAGAACTTTCTTTACTTCAAGCGATGAGTCATGCCACGCGGATTGCACACAGCAAAATGGTGAGCACATGCCCACCTTAAAGGCCAAGGACTAGTGACTCGCGACTGAGAGTGCGAAGGAGCTTTCTGAAGCCCGGGTACGCACGCTTGTTTGGCCAATGCTTCTGCTCAGCCTGCTCCCCGAGATCACGTGTAACTTGCCTTTGTATGAAGATCGGAAAAGGAAGGGAGCAGCGCGCACCCAGATGCCTGCCATACTGTAAGCATCTGCTCCAGCATGAACAGCGCAGGGGGGCAGGGGGGGTGGGGGGTCCGGGGATAAGGCGGAACGTGATAAGGGCCCTGTATTCTGCTTATTGAGCACGGCGCTGGGTGTAAGTGCTCAGCGTGGGAGCCAGGCTCCAAAGCATTCGAACTAAAACTCGATTGCGATGGTGTTCGAGTGTTCGTCGTCGTCTTCTCATTTTCGAGGGCTCGTTGTGCTCTCATGTCAGTTTGTTTGCCAAGCCCAGGAGCAGCAGTCCGAGCTGCGCTCGGCGGAGTCCTCGCGTCGGCTGGGCGCCCTCGACCTGCGCAGCTCGACGAAGCCCTTTGAGTTGATGGCCCTGAGTTTCAGGGGCCTATAGACGGTTCATCACATGAGACGCATCTCCTGTGGGGCCGGAAGATTGCGGGGGTGGCCAATTAAGGAGTGAAATCAAGGGGCGCTTGCAGAGACTAAGGCATGAGTGGCGTTCAGGGAGGCTTGGGAGAGCAGAAGCGTGACATCCTCAAGCTTCGTGAGGAGGCGCAGATGGATGTCACAGAGCCTCCCTGGTCGCTGTTTTGGGGACTTTGTCTTTGGTGAGGTGAACGGCCTGACCGTGAAGAGTGCCAGCCACGAGGTGGACATCCAAAAAGGATCAGATGTCTCTTGGCGAACTCTGGAGAGAAGATCTCCGCCCCTAGAGCACTGCACTGCGCTGTGCACTTCGTTTCCCATCAGAGGCAGTCAAGAAGATGGAGAAGCAGCGCAACTTGGATGGACAGAACTTCAAGGCCCAGTTGGATGCCATCCACGACGTGCTGGACACCAAGGCTGGGCAACTCGTTGGGAGAGCGCTTGTGTGCTGCACGTAGTACAGTTATAGGGCATCGCAGGTCAACGAGAAGCCCTTCGAGGATGTGAAGCACTGTGTGTCCTCCCTGACCAAAGGCCGGATGTTTGCTGGGGCTGTGGAGTTGGGGAGCCATTCCACGCTCGCTGTCTGACCTGCTGTATCCGCATGCTTTCGCCCAGGTGTCGTGAAGTTTGCACAGGTCGTGGGCGTTTTCCCTGGCCCACGCTTTGACGACGCCGAGGGCGGTGACGGAACCGAAGCAGACGTCGAACTTCTGGGATGGGAGGACGTCCACGTCATCCCCTGCGGACTCAGACTCCCAGCTTTAATTTTTCTGCTTCCAGGAGAGCGCGGAGACCCTGTCCTTCCGAGTGGACAAGGCCTCCGGCATCCCCCTCTTTGTCTTCGCTTGTCTGCGGGCTCTTTGAGGACTTTCTTGGGCGCGGGCATGGAGAACCAACCTGTCTAGGCCTGGCGCCAGCGCTGCTCCCAGCGCTTCCGCAACATCCTGGACATGATTGCCAAGAAGGCCCAGCTTGTGTTGCATGGCATTCCTTCTCAAGGTTTTGGGTCTCTTAAGACAAGCTGAGACCCCTGGAGGCGGACCATAGCGTCCTGCGTCTGCTTCAGATTTCGCAGCAACACATCGAGTCGCAACTGGAGCCCTGGGAGGGGGTGAGTGAGGGTTGCACATGGCGCGTGGCAGCCCTGAGCACATGGCTGGTGCTGATAATATGATGCGGTCGCTCGTACCACTCTGCTGGCTTGTGCTTTGGGTCAGGAGCGTGTGAAACACGAGCGCGAGCTGTGGAAGGAGGTCGTGGAGCGACGTCAGCAGCAGCCCCTCCAGTTGGCACTTTCCATGAAGGAGCAACTGGGCCGCACCGTACAAAGAACCACGGTCTTTGTGTCACCCGGGCATAAGAAGGCCGGAAAATGCGGTACCTGTAGAGGGCTAACAGTGATCCGAGGTCCAACCCTCCACTTCCGGCAGACGGAAGCCAAACTGCCCGGCCTCCCCGCTGAAGCGCCCGGAACCTGGTCCAACAGCCTCAACGCACGGCGAAGCTTTCGGACATGAAATGATGCCCCCTCCATGCGAGGTGCCGGGTTTCAGAGAACTGCCGAAGCCATGACTCTGAAGAAGGTGCGCAGCGCCCCTGAATTGCTGAAGCTTCCTACGAAGGACACTGTAGTTACCCTAGAACTGTATGAGCATGAGCATGACTGAAGAGTGATGGGTCTACGTATGGGAACGTATGGAAGCTTTCCTTTTCCAGCGCACCCGCCGCAGCTCGGAAACCTTGATGGCGACTGAGCCAGAACTGAGCGTGCACTTTGCGCACCCTCCCTCCCTTCTCGCTCCTACTAGGTCAAACAGAATTGCAGAATTGCCTCGAACTGCAAGGCTGTTTTGGAATGGATCTTTACCAAGAGCACATACTATAGCCTCCCTTGATTCAGCTCCGACAAGTGTTGGATCTGGCACGCACCTTGGTGCGGCAGCCAGATGGTTTTTGTGGCCGGATAGCAAAGCCGTTTCAGCTGTGACCTGCTTCGGCCATAAGTCTGAACTGTCGCGAAGTTAGCTTTGTCCACCGCGTTCAGTGTCAGACACCCCTCTGGGAAGCGACAGTTGCATTTCCAGCTTCCCCCGGGGTTGCAAAGAAACTTGGCTCTGGCAAAGTGCCAGGCCATGGATGCCAGGCTCCGCACGTAACTCCGCAGCAAAGCCATGTTGTCTTGAGCATTGTCGGGCCGTGTGCCCTCTCTCAGTGTTTTGCTACCATTGAGCCTGGCGCTTTGCAGCTCATGCTTCTGCAGCAAGCCCTTCATGTGCATAGCTCACAATCACATACGTAGTGTACCCCGACCAATGCTCTCTCGACTTACGCTGCTGCCGCTTAGTTCTTTTTGGCAGATTCCTTGCCTTACCAGGGCAGCTTGCAGTAGGGACTGCGGCCACAAGTAGTTAAGACTCTGGGTGTTTCTCGGAATGTTGAAGCAGTTCTGCTGTGGGATGCCTCATGCGCTGGCGAAGTCAACGCTCACTGCCGCATCTTATGGCCCATCAGGGCCCCACGTTCATTCATTGCTCACGTCGACCTGAAGCCGCAATGAACAAAATGGCAACGGAGCCGGCCTGCTGTGCTCTGACTGGCCGGGATAGGTGGTTGCCAGTTAGACATCAAGGATCGTTGCGCGTGGCATCGTGCGAAGGCCCCCTCCTCCTCCTCCTCCCTTGCATGCCCAGGCCCTTGCAGGAAGCCAGCGCAGGGCTCGGTTGAAAGAAGGGATACCTGTGCATACCTGCTTCGAGTTTCTCCTTGCAACCTTTTAAGGCACAGCTGCCCCAAGATCCCGGAATCCCGCTTTCTCTGTGTCACGACCTGAAACCCAGGGCGCCCAAATGGCTGCGGCTGCGCTGCGAGGAGCCGCACGGAGGCTTGGGATGCTCAAATGCCGTGCTGCAGCTAGGTCTGGCAGGTCAGCCCAAAGCAGCCCATGCTTTAGAGCTTTCGAGTGCTTCGCGTCGTCGCATGGAGCGTCGTCGCGTGGAGCGTGCTGAAGGGGCTTGCACAAGTCGGTTCGAGTGTAGCACTCCACGCCACCGAAGCGCCATAAAGAGATCTAGGCGAGGTGCCCCCCCTATTTCAGTGCCCGTTTTGGTCGGGGGCGGTGCCTTGAGTGCAGGCATTGCCCCGCATGCCAAGGGGATACTGTGGGAGTTTGTGCAGCCAAAAGGGGATTAGCTGAACTTGCTTTTTCCCTTAGTCTTGCTGCCGGTGCGTGTGTGCGTGTTTGGTACGACCACCCCGCACCCCAAGCCCTGTCTCCGAGCCAATGCCCCCAGCTTAGTACCTTTGTGAGGGATCGCAAGGGGAAGAGTTTCTGTTCCTGTGAAGTGGGCTGTCTTGCCTAAGTGCCCAAATCCAACCCAAGCCGCCCGGCTTGGGGGGGCGGGCCCATGGAGGTTCGGGTGGCGTTTTTCCCAGCTCGGATTGAGGGGCTCGGAGCGTCGAACTCTTGCCGGATCTCTCCAATGACGCAAGCGGAGGGGGAGAGATGGCGGGAGGGAACGTTTCCGTTGGCCGGAGTGCACCCCAGGCCGTCCACTCACTCACTCACTCAGTGCCCGTTTTTGCGCCACATGCCGAATCAGTGTGGTGAATATGCACGTTTCGTATTCGAAGCCATGTGAAAGTGCCGCATAGTTCTTGCCGCGAGAGACATGGCTTCTCCGTGTGGCCAGGCGAGCGTTTGGTTCGGCGCCCCTTGCTTCTGGATTCAGTGTCTTGGCTGTTCGGACACGGAGATTTTCCTGAGAGGGAGGTCTGCGGCTCCTACCCACGAACAGTCCAGTGAACCGACAATGAGGGGGACAGCGTTTTCCCACATCTCTCAGGATGACAGCTTGGCAGATTTCTTGCAGAGGGTCGGGCCTTGCCTGGCACCAAGAGCCTCTCGTGTAGAATGTTCAGGTTGAGACCAGCAAAAGCCATAAAAGGCTTGTCGAGGCTAACAGATCAAGGCGGTGATCTTTCGTGCGCAGACATATGGCGGCTACTGCAAATGCATTAAATCGATGCGCCGTGCTGACTTGTGGGGTCGTTTTGTGACTGCTGCCGGCTGTATGGCGGCGCGATGCTCAGGCTGTCTCTTCGCGGATATTTGGGCTAGCGTGTGCTGCTTGGGTTGGCTGCTGGCTCATTCTCCTCCAAGTTGGAAAACCATTCCTTCAAGGTCGAGACTTTGGGCGTGAAGGCGCCGCCGGAGCTCCAGGCGGGGTGCACTCAACAGATCGCTTGTTGCAAACCCGTCTCTGAGCTCGTTCCCACGCGATGCACGCCAGCCCAGCAACAAGAGAGCCCTCTGAATATGCAGGTCGTAGCACAGTACTCGTTTGACACGGAGAGTTGTGCAGTCCGCCGCGCGAAGGTTCCAGAGACCGGCCCGGCCTTATTATTCCTGCACGATGGCGTGGTGCACTCAGCCAACAGTATCCCGACAAAGTCTTCCACTCGCAGCAGCAATCCTTTGTCACAAAGCCTTCACGTTGTTATGCGCAGTGGGTTGTGATGGGTCCTCGCTCGGCCGCAGAGGGCTTTCTGGCTCGTCTTGACCAAAGAAACAGGCTCGGCGCCGACTCCCCCCCCCCCCCTTTCCCCCAATGCTCGGCATTTTTCAGAATGGACAAACCAACTCCGCCGTGGACTTCACTGTCGGAGACAAGGCAAGGTATAGACTCGGTATAGGACGTATGGCGCACCTCTGCATTCTCCATGGAGATGTCGTCGTGGGCTTGTGACAGGTATGCATTTTGCCTGGCCGGCACTTTCAGGATTTTGCTGCCGGAGACTGGGCGAAGCAATTTGCCATTCTCGTGTGTAATGAGAGCAACGGTCCACAAGGGTACCAGATGCTACCATGCACATGGTTCATAGGAGATTCCGGCGTGGTATCCATGGTCGATCGCGACGCGCAGACGTGCCAGGTGCAATTCAGGGGTCCGGTGTGAAATCTCGTTTCGCCGGAAGCCTAACTGGGGGTTTCCGAGAATAGGGGACCCCTAAGTTTTAAAATAGACCCCCAAATAGTATAGGATTCCCTTGAAATCACGACCCCAGTCAGGTACCCGTAATTGCGGAAACCCTCCAACTTGTTAACAGCCGCGAGGTCTACTTCGACCACCGGCTCGGTTCCGAAGCGCTGAGCGTCGCCTTCCGCCACCTCAGCCGGGAAGGAGGAAGCCGGAAGAGCACCCTGCAGCCTGCAGTGTGCCACGTTCGGTTGGGGCTAGTCTGTCTAGGAACTCTTCTGATTCCTGCAATTCCGAAATCTAGGTTTCCTTCAATGGTTCATGACGGGTCGAGTCGCAGTCACAAGATGCCAAGATCCAAGTAAACGAACTGGGTGTTCCAGGCGGCGCCGGAAGCTCGCAGATGCGCTTGGAAGCCTTGGAAGCCTTGGAAGCCTTGGGCTTCGAGTCTCCCAAGAAGCTGGAGGCGTCCGAGGCCCATCAGGAGCGGGTTTGAAGGGCAGGATATGTTAGGATATTTTAGGCGCTGTTAGGCTCCTGAGCTCGAGGAGTTAGATGTCGCTCCGCTCCTGGGGAACGCCTTGGGCGCTGTGGCGAGCGCAGGATACTGGGAGGCAGGGAGGGGGCAAGACCAACGTGCAAGCCGCAGCGGTTGGAGCAGTGCTCTGCTCAAGGGCGCCTTGGCTCACCTTGGCGCATCTCCGGCGCCCGGCCCTGCAGGCCCGGTCTCGTTGGAAGTCAGCTGAGAGTGTTGTTCCAGATCATGCCTTGAATCCTATCACTCGCTATCGCTTCTCGTCCATCTTGCCTGTCAACCCGGTGCAGCGTCACCTCACAGCAACTTGCAGCTGGGTAGCCGTCTTGTTTCTGTCTGCGATTGCCATGGCTGTCCTTCGGCTCATCCTGGCTATGACCCTGGCGCCTTTGACATCCTTCGCCCACACGGTGGATGGCCAGCAAGTCGGTGCTGACTGCAACGGATATGGATGCGATGATGTCGAGACCAGCAGCCTGCTTGAGCACAAGTCAAGGCAGGACCAGGATGAGTCAAAAGGTTGCATTACCAAGGGGAAGTATCACTACCCAGTCATTCCAGGCTTGCGGATTGAGGTGACCAGGTGGCAGCATTGCCAGTCGTACTGCAGGGTCACTGAGGGCTGCCAGTTCTTTTCTTTCTGGCCTGATGGTGGTTGTGAGCTGCAGAGCGGCCCCGGTGAGTACCGCACGGCCACCGCCGCATACAGCGGCGTCCTGAGCGGCCCGGCGAGCTGCGGGGACACCCCACCGGGAGCCATCAACTTGCTGGACCAATCCTTCATGTACTGCGCCTATCATCCCGACGCGCTTTGCTGCAAGTGCGGGACGTGCTGCCTTCCATACTGCGAAAATGCGGAGTGGACCCTCCGTGACGGCTGCAACTACCAGGCTGGGAAATCATGGGCTGCGTCTGTCGGTATTCGGGGCCGTGCTTCATGTTTAAGTTTAAGTTTGCCTAAATAGCTCTTCAAACGTATCGCTGTGCCTTCCTGAACCAAGGGTCGAGCAACCTTCGCTGGCCCCCCAAAGCTGCAAAAGACTTAAGAGACTCCCCTGTTGATGCGCAGGTCGGTGGCTGGTGTGACCCATCTTTGGCCCTGACACCGCCGGTTTGCCCCGGGATGTGAACGGGGAGAAGCTGCCAAGGAGACGAAGGAGACAGGAGAAGTGAGCATCGACCGAGGCTTGCGACCTGCTGGTCGTGTCTCCTGTGCATGTCGATTCTGCGACACCCTCAGATAGGACAGGAGCAAAGCGCATAAACACGCGCCGGTCTCCTCGAATCGAAGAGAAATGAGGGGAAGAGAAAATTGCTCGACCCGAGTGGCCAGTGACTCGCCAGCTAGGCCAAGTTCATTTGCTTGCCGCTCCCGGAAGCCTCCGAAGGTTGCGACGACGGGGCTTTGGCATCTGCGCTGGAAGCCTCGGCTGCAGCCAAGGCCGGGACATGTCCGGCCACCTTGTCATGCTTGTTGAATCATGGAACGTCGGCTGTTGCAAGGCTGAGGCCAGTGCTGCCGCGCTGCTTGAAGCAAGCAGAGCTGGCCGGGAAACCTGACATTTCAGCATGCCGCTCTTCTGACTTCGAGCGCGTGGCGCAGGCTTGAGGTTGAAAGACCTCGACGAGAAGGTGGTACGCCACAATCGTGAGCACTGGCTGGGCTTGGAGTGCTTGCAGGTGCCAAGCTGGCAGTGCATCCCAATCCGATAGTCCCCCCCAGCATGCGTGGCTTGCGTGTGGTTCAAGCTGCTTGCATGCCCGGTCCTCATAGGAGAAAGTGGGTGATCTTTCCTCCACGCAGAGAGCGCTGCACGAGGAGTTTGCCGCCAGTGTGAAGAAGGCGGATCTGCGATAGATTGCGTTGGCGACGCCGCCAACAAAGCCTTGTCAAGGACATGTCGGCCTTTCGCGAGCACGTCGCTGACCTGTCGACAAAATGCCAGGCTCGGCCAGATTGTCAGATTGGAACCTTGGTAGGCTAATCACATCTGTATTGCCCAGACACGAGATCGGGGCAGGCCCTGGCAGACTTAGTGGCGACGATTCGCACAGAGCTGGGGGGCAAGGTGCCATGATATCCGTGACCATTGAACCGACACGTGTTTTCCTCTGTCGGTTCAGCTCGCGCACGAGGCTTCGCATGACCAGCTGGAGGATCTTGAACACCAGCAGTGCAAGGCCCCACATCGTGCCGCTTGGAATTGGTTTGTGTTCTCCACTAATCCAGATGCACAGATCGCTGATGGCTCAGACCTTGATTGCAGGCCTTCGAGCGCTTCGTCGCCCGCTGGGAAGCATGCGCCGAGGACACAGGGCGATTGATCCAAACTATGTCTTGCTCAGCTAGACAATGGTGGACGCCCACCCGAAGGGCGTCCATAGCTTAGTTCCAGTCTGGTAGTCCACAATTTGGACCCAATTCATCAAGATGAGCCTGGCAATGGTGGCCCCTGGTGGAGGCCCGTCGAAGGAATCTGAGGAATGAGATGAGCAGTGCGATCGGCGAGGCGGCCAGAGGGCACCTATTTTTTGCGGCTTCTTGCTATTCTGTTGAGGAGGCACTTTTGAGGTTTTACTAGTTTAATACTTCGAAGCCCCAAGAGTGCACATTCTGCAGAGGTACGCAGGCCCGCAGTCAGAACCGCCTCCGAGCAGGTGCTCGCATGTGGCCACGTGTGCTCTGGTGGCTGTTTTAGCTTTGGGATGAAGTAAACCGTGGCCATCTGGCTGTGGAGCCTGTGGCATTGAGGTCCTTCATGTCATGGCAGTGTCACAGTAGTGTCTTGCCAGGCGCAGCTCGGTTCAACGCCAAGTGGCCCAAGTCGACAGACGGAGTCGCGACGACACGATGAGCTCCAGGTCCTGCCCCATCTTGAATGACCGCGTGGTTAGAGATGATGCATATGATCACGTTGCTTTGCCGCAGGCCAGCTTGCCCTCGGCAGGCCTCCCTGCCGCAAAAGATCACGCGAGAACAGCATTTGAGACCAGAACATGGTGTAGATTTCTCCGTGTGGAGGCTTGGAGGAAGTGGTGCGAAGGGTGCAGGCCGAGCTCACTGATCTCAGGCGGGAGCTCACGAGCTTGAGAACGGAGGCCAAGCAGGCCGGAGCCACGGTCGAATAGGAGTCAGTGGAGTATAGAAGTCAAAGACTGTCGCCGCAGCACAGTCGCCAATTGAAGCAACGTTTTGCACCAGCTGAGCATGGGTCTTGAATCCACCGGCTCTGTGACCGCGCAAGCCAGAACCACTGTGTTTTTTTTTCTGCAATCCTACTCGACTTGATTGCGCTGTTCGGTGGACGAGCCCACCCTGCTGCCTCTTAGGCCAGCCAGCTGAAGCTGGAAGGCTTGACTGAGGCACCTTTGGTCAAGCGTAAGAAAGCAGGCGTAGGAACTTGCCTGGACGGATGCAGACTGTCGGAAGGCAAGGGAGCAGCGCTACCAGTCCCTCTCAGCCACAGCCGCGTGGCATAAAGGTGGTTGAAGCATGTTAGGCAATGCACGTTCTGCAACAGTCTAAGGTCGAAAGCCTGAAGTCGAGTTTTGAGGCAGGGCCCTTGCGAATCCTGGTGCGCCTGCTTCTCACTCGCGCATGCCTGCGCATGCCTGATCAGTGTCTCGAAGGTCATCCGCAGAAGTACCAAAGAGTCTTCAGACACGCGGGAGCAGGCCATAGCATACTATCAGTCAGAGGAATCGTGTTTTTCCTATATCGATTCGCAGATTATGGGGCTGTGCACAGTGTGCCGAGTGCAGGCGCTGCTCGACGGCCTCCGCCTCCGTGCAGATGCCTGTGCGGAGGGGCTGGCTTCTGAGGTGCGGATTCGGGAGGCCGGGGCGCTTTCAGTTTCACGTCGTTCTAAAAGTATCATGGAGTTGGGGGTGTCATGCGGTGCGCTGCCCTGCCTTGACAAGGAGGCAACACAGCGGCTGGAGTCACTCTTGCAGCAGACGCGCCGGGACCTGGAAGCGAAGCTGGAGTCAGTTCGAGGCGAGTGGGACATCCTGTTTTTGCTTCCTGGTCATATGCCATGCTTTAGCCAAGCGTGCTCTCAGATTCAGGTGCTCTGGAAAAGCAGCTCCGGGGCACCCTGAACCACAAGGACAAGGAACTGCAACTCGAGCTCATGGGTGCCATGCAGCTCGAGCTCCAGAAGAGACAGGACTTTTCGGTGCTTCCCCCCCAAAAAACGGACTCTGGGACTGAAATTTGCCCCTTCATCAAAGAGGATGCCGAGACCTCTCTTCGAGATTTGCAGTGCGAGATGGTGGAGATACGCTCCAAGCTGATGCGGAAGGACGACCGAATCGGGTGGTTGATCCGGGATGGGTGGCAACTCCGGGACCTCGAAGACCCCCCGACCTCGAGTGGTTCCGAGTGTTTCTGAACGGCTTCCGATGTCCATCCGGACTACGAGTAACGTCTACGAAGGTAGGCAAATGGATTAAATGGGGAGAGCATCCTGATGCGACGTGCCGCCCCACCATGTGGCAAATACTGTACGCCCTGGCCACGCCCAGCTCCAGTGCTCAGTCACTTAGTCTTGGCAGGTGATTTTGCCAGGGCCTGTTGATGTGCCTGGTGCGGTACCCTAGCCAAAGTCGGCACGGGTCCTTCGGAAAGTGGCCTTCATCGAAACCTCGAAATACCACTAGACGTTTTTGCTGCAGGGGAAGGGCCACACAGATGCTCGCACACTTAGATGCCTTGATCGCCCTCTGCAGGGTGACGTTGATTCAGCCAGGCTGCTTTCACAACAATACGCTATACACAAAGGTACACAGCGCAGGTGGATGCATCTTTTGCGTCATCTTTGACATACCACGTGTTCAAGTATCCACGCGGCCACGCGGGGACACTTATGTTTTGAGACTGCGACTAGCCAGCAGTGGCAGTGTCAACAATTGGTTACAGTTCCGCTCGGGGAAGGCCAGCAGCCGTCAACTGGAAGAAGTCACCCTCGACCCCGGGCACCTAGAACCATGCACTTCGCAACATTCCTCGGTGCCCTTGCCAGGAGCACGCCCTTCTGGAAGCCACGGGCTTCAAAGAGCCCGTGGCTGAAACGCGAGCCTGGCGCCCTGGGCTCACAGGCATGTGCTGCAGGATTGCTGAAGGATTCTCGTAGCAGAGAGACTTTTGGTGTTGCGAAGCAGGCACGCTCTTTGCCGAGCCGACACCTTCCCGAGAGGCAGCTCCAAGCAGCAGCACAGGAGCTGTCTCAACCAAGCGCCGCAGCCAAAGTGATTTCAAGAAGGGAGAGTTCAAAAAGAGCGTGCCAGGACCCTCGTCTCAGGCAGGCAGCCCGCTCAATGATCCCCGGGCCACGGCGACTCCGGCTGTTCTGCGTCCCATGCAACTTGGCCTGACCCCGGAGACTTCTAAGGGGAAACTTGGCATACAAGGCGGAGCTGATAACCTGCCCGCAACCAAGGTTGCAGCCACGATCTCACCAATGGCCAACCTGATCGCAGGGCTTGGTGGCTTATTTGCTAATGATGTCCTGCTGCTGCCAACGACTGCGCAGCAAGACCGTCTGTAGTCCACAAACGCTGCCGTGACGCGCGTGCGGCTGGACAACAAGATCACAGCACTGGCAGCTTCGGGAATTGAGGATGATGGTGCCCCTCCACACCAAAAACATTTGGGATGTTGCCTTCTGCCACAGGTGGCCGTGAACCTGCTTACCGCACCTGCCCAAGCTTGAGCAGGCGTGGTGGGGTGCTCTCTAGGTCTCAGCAAGAACAAAAAGGCGAAACAGCTGCCTCAGCCATCAGAGCTTGAGCGTCGCGAGCACTTGGCAGCTTGTGTGTCACTCCTGTCAGACCGCCTAGATTCTAGATAGTTTCCAACAGCAATCTGCGGCACAGAAATCACTCAAGGCCCTCAAAGACCCTCCCCAAGGCCCAACGGGAGAACAATATGTAAACATCGATCAGCCCATCCGATTAGTGATTTTTCTCGGGCCCATGGCTCCGGATACACCTGCGTGGCTGGAGGAAGCATATCCGGACAGCCAGTCGCCCAGTTTCGATGACCACAACGATGTTTGCAGACTCTAAAAGCTGAGGGCTGTGGCGGTCTCTCCGACGCTGCACCCTGCGCGTCGACGGTGGCGCCGGGCTTCAGCTGGCGACCACCGAGCTGGGCTACTCGGCTAGGCACAGCTGAACAGATGCACACAATATACACATCGAGGAACTTTTACTAGTAGTTCGATGGATTGCAATGGTATACTGTGGTACTTCTAGATTCTAGATTGTCCTCGCAGCATTGCAGTTGAAGAAGGTATTTTGCCGATGCAGGTGCTGGTGAGTGGGTCACACCTTGTCATGCCTTGGCTGAGGCTATCTGGTGGAGGCTGTGGATGGTGTGCCGGCCCAGGATGAGACTCTGAAAGCTGGAGTGCTCATTGTAGGCATTGCCGGTGTGCCGCTGTCACTTGGCCAAAAACAATATGCAAATCCCAGCAGCTTTCTTGACCTTCGTGAAGCACCTTGAGTAGCACAGCGTGGATGCCATGCCAAATGTTTCAAATGAGACTCGCAGAGTACGAAGTTCCTTAGGCTCGGCCTTTCTGACGATGCTTTGGAAGATGCCTTCGGCTCCCACTTTCAAGACGGAGTGGAGCTCCTCCTCTTGGATTCAGAGGACCGCGCCTGTGCCACACACATTCCATGTGCTGACCGAATGCTGCAGGAGCTACAGCGGGCGACGGTGGAGAGAGACTCACAAGGCTACGGGAGGGTGCGACGACTACAAAGTTGGGTTTCTTCATTGCCCTGCGCAGGCGAATGCCCCTGCAACGAAGCCGACGATGATGTGGAGGGTGATGCCGTGCCATTGGAGCAGGACGACCTCTTTGGGGACTCTGAAGAGTCACGGCGGGTCTTGCCATCCCCTTTTTACAGGAGCTGGTGGAGCTTCTGGAGCACGGCAGCGTGCTGAACCTACGCCTGTGTCCGGCCACGCAGCTCCGGGAGCCCTGGGGGGCCTCAAGCCACAGAGCTCTCATGCCAATGTATGATGTAAGATGATGTAAGTGTAGTACGTGTCCAGCCAAGCAAACACGTTAGAGTCTTGTAGAGGACCTGGCACCCGAAGTGCGTGCTGCGCTGGATGACGACCTGCAGACCTTTGCCGCGCTCCATGACTTGCGGGTGGCCTTGCAGATGTCTCAAACCTTAAGGGGGTAGGATAGGAGTCTTCCAGCGATTGAGAGTCTCTTTTGAGCGATCGACAGTCGCGATGTCATGCTCGCCCGGTGTTCGCTGAAAGCTTGGGCATGTTTGCACACGGCATCTTTCGTGCACTGCATCAGGTGGAGCTGCATTGCCCTGAAGCCACCACAGCATCTGCAAGGCCCGCGGAGTTCCTCTAACGCACTGCCAGAGTGAGGTTGCTGCCGGGTTTGCTCCGTAGCTGGCGCTCCTTCTTAAGTTTGTGTGCCGGACAGTGCCAGGCTGACCTTATGCGGGGTGCCAGATGACGTGAATGTCTCAAGAAGTGAAGCCGAAGAGCTTATGAGGCCAGCTGCAAAGAAACGAAGAATTCCTGTTTGTGGCGTGGCACAATTCGTTCGCTTGCATTATTACAGGTTCTATGGCTTGCTTCCAAAGTCTGGGGAGGAGGCGAGTACAGTGGAGGCTCCGTGCAAGATATGGCCTTATCCTTTCCTTGCCAGTTCTCGAATCTTGCATCAAATCCGTGCGCTTTCTCTCAGAGAAGCCGGATAGCGCTCGCCCCGACCGAAACATGCGTATCACGTGTGCTGCCAAGCTGCAAAGGTGGAGGGCCTGGTCATGAAGTCGCTGCCTGCGAGACACCGGCGCCGGCGCAAGGCTCCAGAGACGGCGCCCGGTGAAGAGAAGGCTGCGCACATATAGCATACGGGTCCGGGGTTTACTCATCGGTTTTGGGAGCTTGCAGCGACTTCCGGCAACTTCTGTCTTTCGATGTCTGGAGGCTGATTTTTCATGTGCCCTCATGCCACATTGGGCATGAGGGCCCCGTACAGGCAAGCAAGGCTCCGATCTTGGAGGCGCCTGAGGCGCTCGGTGAAGTGGTCGGAGAGCCCCGAGAGCGCCGAGCGGGTTCGGCAATCTGCACATCCGACACGTCCGAAGAGCGAAGGTACTTCGAGTACCTGGATGCTCTGCGTTTATCCTTGGCACAGGATGTTTGTGGTACTTTTGTGGTGCAGCACCTTGTGGGCGCAGTCCGGAGTCTGAACTTCTGAAGATTTCTGAAGTCAAAAGAGTTCAGCTGCCTCAATTCGGGCTGTTGAGGACCACACGGCGGATGTGATTCTTCACTCCTGGGGTCACACTTTGGAGGAAGCCTTCGAACAGTGCTGCGTCTCCTGCCCCCGACTTCGAGTTGCCGAAGCATATATATCTATATATATATATATGGTACCCCCCCCCCAAAGATCTACCATTTCCCACCTTTTTTTTCAACAATGAAACAAAATCCGTCTGCTTCATATTCGCAATGCAATAAAATCCGTATGCCTCACAATGATAATGCCCACGACGCCATTCAGAACTCTCTTCAAAGATTTCGAAAGCCGGCCGTTTCAATTGAAACGTTTCCGTTTCAATTGAAACGGCCGGGATCCAAGATCCAAGATCCAAGATGTCCCAGGACTCTTGCCGAGGCATCTTGGAATCCTAGATCTCGAAAACCGGCCGTTTCAATTGAAACGTTTCCGTTTCAATTGAAACGGCCGGGATCCAAGATCCAAGATCCAAGATTTCCCAGGACTCTTGCCGAGGCATCTTGGAATCCCATATCTTGGATTCTGCCCGTTTCAATTGAAACGTTTCCGTTTCAATTGAAACGGCCGGTTTTGGATTTAGGATTCCAAGATGCCTAGGCAAGAGTCCTGGGAAATCTTGGATCTTGGATCCTGGATCCCGGCCGTTTCAATTGAAACGGAAACGTTTCAATTGAAACGGCCGGTTTTCGAGATCTAGGATTCCAAGATGCCTCGGCAAGAGTCCTGGGAAATCTTAGATCTTGGATCTTGGATCCCGGCCGTTTCAATTGAAACGGAAACGTTTCAATTGTTGAACTTCAAAACTCCGGGTTCCAGGATTCAAGATCCCGTGGAGACTTTTCCTGCAATCTTGAATCTTGAATCTTGGATCCCGGAGTTTTGAAGCTCAAAACTCTAGATTGAAGTTCAAAACTCACGGAACCCCATAGGGCTGAGGTTTGGAGGTTTAGGGCTTCAGGTTGAGGCATTAGAACCTGAGCCGGCAATTAAAACTAAACCCTTAACCTTTAAACCCTATAGGGTTAAGGTGTTAAGGTTTAGGGTTTACGATTTAGGCATTCAAACTTGAGCCGGTAGTTCAGCCTAAACTCTCGACCTTCAAACCGTATAGGGTTAAGGTTTCAAGGCTTAGGGCTCAAGATTTAGTCATGTAAAGCTAAGCCCATAGAGTTTAAACCTCAAGGGTTTAAGGTTTATAGGTATGAAAACATGAACCCTAAACCCTCTAGGGGTCTAAAAGGTTCAAGGGTGTTCAGCCTACAGGCGCTGAAGGTATAAATGCCCATGGGTACATCAGGTTTAGGCATTGAAACCTTGAAGCCCTATAAGGGTTTTTAAAGGTTTAAGGTCTGGGGATTGAAACCTAGGTTTGGGCATTCAAACTGGTTTAAGCCTTAACCCCTGTAGGGCCAGGTATTTAAACCGAATAGCTTACCTTGAAACGCTGTAGGTTTAAAGGTTGAGGTTCCAAACCTTTAAGCCTCTGGGGTTCAAAGGTTTAGGTTTTTGCAGAGTTTGTCTACCCTATTCGGGGTAGCCCTATAGGGTTTTAACCCTATAGGGGTTCAAGGTTCAGGGTTTAAGAGGGCATTGCAACAACCCAACCCTAAACCCTCAGGGATTGAACCCCTTTACTGTTATCCTTAAGCCTTAAAGCATATAGGGTTTAGGGTTATAATGCTGAAGAACCCTCAGGGATTTAACCCCTTTACTGCTTTCCTTAAGGCTGAAAGCATAAACGGTTTAGGGTTATAACGCTGAAGAACCCTCAGGGGTTTAATACTGTTTTCCTTAAGCCTTAAGGCATATAAGGTGTAGGGTTATCACGCTGAAGGTATAAATGCCCAGACCTTCGGTACATCAGGCTTAGGCATTAGCACCTTTAAGCCCTATAAGGTTGTTAAAGGTTTAAGGTCAAGCCTTAAACCCTATAGGGCCCTATAGGGTTACGGTTGTTTCAGGGTTTATCAACCCTAAACGCTATGAGGGGTTGAAGGTTTAGGGTTGAAGGTTCTGGGCATTGCAAAAACATAACCCTAAACCCTCAGGGATTTAACCACTTTACTGTTTTCCTTAAGCCTTCAGGCATATAGAGTTTAGGGTTATAACGCTAAAATCTATAGGATTAGCACCTTATACCCCTATATATTGTAGGCCTTGAGGCCTCAATCCTAACCGTAAATCCCATAGAGTTCTGCCTATGTTTGTAGGCCTCGCCTCCTGTGGAAATGCAAAGGAAAAGTAGAATAAGTACCCACTGCATGTATGTATATAGGGTATATGTATTGCATATCAAATACAGATGATAGAGATCCTCGAACCATAAGACTAGGAAGTATTCGAGCGCAAAAGGTGATGCGGAAAAATCATGTACTGTAAGCCCCGGGGACGCGAGAATACTATGAGCAAAGACCTTTTCACTATTTCCCTCTTAATTGCCGGTTCGGTGTCTTGGGTTGGTGCAGGATCGGTTAGCTATTGTTACGAGGGACTAGATCGGAAGGGATTCTGGATAGTAAAAGCATTAAAAAAGGGTAGATCTCTGGGGGGGGGAAGCATATATATATATGTGAGAGGGACCTTTTGGGTCCATTTCACGTATATCACTTGTATGAGGAATTAAATTTATTTACCTATTAATTTCTTTAATTTCTTTAATTTCTGGGGCTCTCTTAGGGAAATAAATGAAATTAAAGAAATTAATTAATTTCATTAATTTCTTTAATTTCTGGGCCTCTCTGTGCGAAATTAAAGAAATTAAAGAAATTAATTAATTTCTTTAATTTCATTAATTTCATTAATTTCTTTAATTTATTTTAATTAGTCCCGTGAGCCGGGGGGGCTCCCCCAATTAATTTCTTTAATTTCTTTAATTTCTGGGCCTCTCTGTGAGAAATTAAAGAAATTAAAGAAATTAATTCCGGTAGCCCTTCGGGCTTGCGAGACTAATTAAAAGAAATTAATGAAATTAAAGAAATTAAAGAAATTAATGAAATTAACTAATTTCTTTAATTTCTTTAATTTCTGGGCCTCTCTGTGAGAAAATAAAGAAATTAAAGAAATTAATTAATTTCATTAATTTCTTTAATTTCTGGGCCTCTCTGTGAGAAATTAAAGAAATTAAAGAAATTAATTCCGGTAGCCCTTCGGGCTTGCGAGACTAATTAAAAGAAATTAATGAAATTAAAGAAATTAAAGAAATTAAAGAAATTAATGAAATTAGTTAATTTCTTTAATTTCTTTAATTTCTGGGCCTCTCTGTGAGAAATTACAGAAATTAAAGAAATTAATTAATTTCATTAATTTCTTTAATTTCCGGGCCTCTCTGTGAGAAATTAAAGAAATTAAAGAAATTAAATAATTTCATTAATTTCTTTAATTTCTGGGCCTCTCTGTGCGAAATTAAAGAAATTAAAGAAATTAAAGAAATTAATTAATTTCTTTAATTTCATTAATTTCATTAATTTCTTTAATTTATTTTAATTAGTCCCGTGAGCCGGGGGGCCCCCCCCAATTAATTTCTTTAATTTCTTTAATTTCTGGGCCACTCTGTGAGAAATTAAAGAAATTAACGAAATTAATTCCGGTAGCCCTTCGGGCTTGCGAGACTAATTCAAAGAAATTAAAGAAATTAAAGAAATTAAAGAAATTAATGAAATTAATTAATTTCTTTAATTTCTTTAATTTCTGGGCCTCTCTGTGAGAAATTAAAGAAATTAAAGAAATTAGTTAATTTCATTAATTTCTTTAATTTCTGGGCCTCTCTGTGAGAAATTAAAGAAATTAAAGAAATTAATTAATTTCATTAATTTCTTTAATTTCGGGCCTCTCTGGCGAAATTAACGAAATTAAAGAAATTAATTAATTTCTTTAATTCATTAATTTCATTAATTTCTTTAATATTTTAATTAGTCCCGTGAGCCGGGGCCCCCCCCCCCCAATTTAATTTCTTTAATTTCTGTGCCTCTCTGTGAGAAATTAAAGAAATTAATTAATTTCATTAATTTCTTTAATTTTCTGGGCCTCTCTGTGAGAAATTAAAGAAATTAAAGAAATTAAATAATTTCATTAATTTCTTTAATTTCTGGGCCTCTCTGTGCGAAATTAAAGAAATTAAAGAAATTAATTAATTTCTTTAATTTCATTAATTTCATTAATTTCTTTAATTTATTTTAATTAGTCCCGTGAGCCGGGGGGCCCCCCCCAATTAATTTCTTTAATTTCTTTAATTTCTGGGCCTCTCTGTGAGAAATTAAAGAAATTAAAGAAATTAATTCCGGTAGCCCTTCGGGCTTGCGAGACTAATTAAAAGAAATTAATGAAATTAAAGAAATTAAAAATTAATGAAATTAATTAACTTCTTTAATTTCTTTAATTTCTGGGCCTCTCTGTGAAAAATTAAAGAAATTAAAGAAATTAATGAATTTCATTAATTTCTTTAATTTCGGGGCCTCTCTGTGAGAAATTAAAGAAATTAAAGAAATTAATTAATTTCTTTAATTTCTGGGCCTCTCTGTGCGAAATTAAAGAAATTAAAGAAATCAATTAATTTCTTTAATTTCATTAATTTCATTAATTTCTTTAATTAATTTTAATTAGTCCCGTGAGCCGGGGGGGGCCCCCCAATTAATTTCTTTAATTTCTTTAATTTCTGGGCCTCTCTGTGAGAAATTAAAGAAATTAAAGAAATTAATTAATTTCATTAATTTCTTTAATTTCTGGGCCTCTCCGTGAAAAATTAAAGAAATTAAATAATTTCATTAATTTCTTTAATTTCTGGGCCTCTCTGTGCGAAATTAAAGAAATTAAAGAAATTAATCAATTTCATTAATTTCTTTAATTTCTGGGCCTCTCTGTGCGAAATTAAAGAAATTAAAGAAATTAATTAATTTCCTTAATTTCATTAATTTCATTAATTTCTTTAATTTATTTAAATTAGTCCCGTGAGCCGGGGGGGCTCCCCCAATTAATTTCTCTAATTTCTTTAATTTCTTTAGTTTATGGGCCTCTCTGTGCGAAATTAAAGAAATTAAAGAAATAAATTCCGGTAGCCCTTCGGGCTTGCGAGACTAGTTA